TGCAGTGGATTTGCTTCTTGATTCCAAAAAGACGTTCACTTGGTCGGTTTGTAGTGCTGGACGCAAGAGTTTGCTTTCCCAAGGTTTCCAGGTCCAGGATAGTTGTCGTGTCTTGGGTGCGCATGTCCGAACCACCCGCAAGCATACAAATGCCATTCAAATGGCTCGGATTACTTCTCTCCAGAGCTTGTGGCCTAAGCTGAGACTGTCTGCAGCGCCCTATAGGGTTAAAGTTCGTGCTCTGCGATGTGCAGCATGGCCGAGAGCACTTCATGCCATTGCTGCCACCACTGTTGCCAACCAAACCTTTAAGATGTTGCGTGCCTCGGCGATGAAAAGCCTTCAGGCAGATGGCTCAGGTTGCAGTTCAATTGTGCACCTTGGCTTGTGTGAGAAACCCCAGACAGATCCGCAATTTTGGACGTTGGTGCAAACATTTCGACTTGTGAGGGATTGTGGTATTGCTGATGTAGTATTGCCAGCCCTTCAGGCCTTGGTGCGAGGTGATTCCAATGTTATGGCCAACGGTATTTCTGCTACTTTGTTGGGTCGGCTGCAACTTCTTGGATGGCATGTCAATTTTGACGGCTTCTGTATTGATGACTTTGGCTGTTTTTCACTTTTTGACATTTGTCTTGATGAGTTGCTCTGGCGAACGGAGTGGTCCTGGCTGAAATTTGTGTCTGCCAATGTCAGGCATCGGCCTGGCCTTGCTGACTTAGATCAGATTGACCCAGTTAGTACTCGCAGGTGGCTCCAGTCTTTGAATGTAAGTGACCAGGCCCTGATGAGGAAGTCATTGAATGGGGCCCACATCACTCAAGATGGTGAACACCATTGTCAGGAAGTTGCATCCGATGTTTGCTTATATTGCAGCTGCTCCGACTCCAGATTTCACCGTTTCTGGGTCTGTCCTGCTTTTCAGACTTGTCGTGCACATGTTAGCCAGCAATTATGGGAGTCCGTCCCTGACCTTCCTGAAAGTGCAGTTTGTCATGGATGGTCTCTTAGACCTACTACAACTGTTGAGTGGTACTCCTACCTTGCCAAGTTGCCGCAGCTTGACATCCCAACAAGTCCAGTTGTACCACAGCAACTCCAGTGTTTCACTGATGGTAGTTGTTTTAACCCTAACTATCCTGCAGCGAGGTTTGCCTCCTTTGCAGTTGTGCTCGCCTTTGCAGATGAGCGACCATCCAAGGTATTAGACTCTGGCCCACTTCCTGGCTTGCGACAAACGTCGGTGCGGGCTGAGTTGTATGCAGTGGTGCGGGTCATCAAATTCGCAGCCTTTCATGGTGTCAAGGTTATGATTTGGTCTGACTGTTTGGCAGTGGTTCGACGGCTCCGGCGAGTTCTTCAAGGGACCAAGGTTAAGAGTAACTCACCTAACGCAGATTTGTGGAATGCCATTGCTGATGCGTTGATTGCCTGTTCTGGGGATGCCATTCAAATCACTAAAGTTGCTGCGCACACCAGCAGACACCAGGCCTCTTCTCCATTTGAGGAGTGGTGCTTTAGGAATAATTCCCTTGCAGATAAAATTGCAGTGCAAGCCAATCAACTGAGGCCACCGGAGTTTTGGCAACTTTTGGCGCGCCATGTGCAAGCATGTACCCTCATTGATGGTTGGAATGCTGAAATCCGTACTGTGCTGTTGCAGGTAGGCCGTATGGTTGTCAGGCATGAAGCTGGTGTTACTGATGAGCCATGTGTGCCTACGCCGCAGCCTGATCGTATTGATTTTGCATGGGGTGGTCTGCCTCCAGTGCCATGTCAGCCGCCTGGCGCTATTCGGTGGTATGGGAAGTCCATTGTCCTTAAATTGATGCAGTGGTTCTGGGAAGTGTTGCAGGAGCCGACTGCTCCGATGGCTTGGATTTCATACTCTCAGCTTTACATTGATTTTGCTATTTCCACAGGTGAGCCAGGTCCTTTGAAATTTCCGGACTGGTGTGATGGTGCAGACGTACCTCATCAAAGTTTGATTTCCTTTGGCTTCAAATTGCGGACGAAATGGTTCGGAAAGGTCCTCCGTGAAACTCTTCGTCACGGCTGCATTCCTGTCCGATCTGGGTATCATAGGCCAAAGAGCTTCATGATTGCAATGCATGCTGGTTGCTTAGCTTTGCCTTGGCCTCAACAAAGGCTTGATTATATTGATCAATGGATTGCTCAGTTTGTTGTTTCCCCTTTTAGAAGACAAAGCAAAGCAATGGACAGCTTGCCGGTGCCTAGTGGAAACTCTTTTCCCAGGCCATAGGTGCGTGGACGCAGTGACAAGTGCTGTTTCCGTTTACTGAGGCAGCGCGTTGGGTAAAGATGGATAAAGATGGTGGTTTGGAACATTTTTTATTTTCCATAATATATGGGATTAATCATCCCAACTGGCTTTCATATTTTTCAGAGGGGTAGGCTCAACCACCAACCAGTTATATACAATCATTTCGGTGCAATTTCCCCCAATCTCGGACAACTGAGATATGTGTTCTGAGATTTGAGGTTGAACTTTGGATATACAGACAATCGGTACGGTACTTTTTTCGGGGAGACATTTGATCTGAAAACAATTAGTCACCAATGAAGCCGATGGTTTAGACGGTCAAATCTTAGGATATATATATATACAAAGGCATATAATTACTGTAAAGGCTCTGAGTCCAGACATACGCACATCTTGTTCAATCTGAGAAAGGATATGACTGGTGAATCTGAGAAGATATGCTGGTGTCTTCAGATATGCTTGGCTACCCCTCACCCAAAAAAATGGTTTGGAGCACGCGCGTCATTTGGCCATACTGTTTTTACTGCCAAAGGGTACCAAACGATATAGCCACAGTGAGCAGTGGTTCAACTTTGTTAACCCAAAAAGCCAAAAAGTTGGGTGGCTAACTAGGTACACGCTTGATAGACGGCCGTGGCACGAAATGGGATTTTCAGCAAAAAACTCAATGTTTTTTGACGTTCCTCATTTTGCATTGTTCCAAACTACTGCGAAGCAGCACTTCATAGCCTTTTTTTCCTCATTGTTTCAAAAGTTGTTTCAGCTCTTCTAAGAAGGCAATGGGGGTGATAGGCCCTAGACTTTGTCTAAAGACCCATTGGTTCACCATCGCTTTGACGTCGTCTGACATCAGGGTATGTCCTGCGACTTTGGAAGTGCAAGACGACATACAGTAGCGTAGCATCATATATGTGAGGAAGTGCAAAACGACATACAGTAGCGTAGCATCATGTATGTGAGGAAGTGCAAGACGACATGAAGTAGCGTAGCATCATGTATGTGAGGAAGTGCAAGACGACATGACGTAGCGTAGCATCATGTATGTGAGGAAGTGCAAGACGACATGAAGAAGCGTAGCATCATGTATGTGAGGAAGTGCAAGACGACATACAGTAGCGTAGCATCATGTATGTGAGAAAGTGCAAGACGACATGAAGTAGCGTAGCATCATGTATGTGAGGAAGTGCAAGACGACATGAAGTAGCGTAGCATCATGTATGTGAGGAAGTGCAAGACGACATGAAGAAGCGTAGCATCATGTATGTGAGGAAGTGCAAGACGACATACAGTAGCGTAGCATCATATATGTGAGGAAGTGCAAGACGACATACAGTAGCGTAGCATCATATATGTGAGGAAGTGCAAGACGACATGAAGAAGCGTAGCATCATATATGTGAGGAAGTGCAAGACGACATACAGTAGCGTAGCATCATATATGTGAGGAAGTGCAAGACGACATGAAGTAGCGTAGCATCATGTATGTGAGGAAGTGCAAGACGACATACAGTAGCGTAGCATCATGTATGTGAGGAAGTGCAAGACGACATGAAGTAGCGTAGCATCATGTATGTGAGGAAGTGCAAGACGACATGAAGTAGCGTAGCATCATATATGTGAGGAAGTGCAAGACGACATGCGTAGCAGACGACGACATACACATCATGTGAGGAAATGTACAGCAGCATCATGTATGTGAGGAAGTGCAAGACGACATACAGTAGCGTAGCATCATATATGTGAGGAAGTGCAAGGCGACATACAGTAGCGTAGCATCATATATGTGAGGAAGTGCAAGACGACATACAGTAGCGTAGCATCATGTATGTGAGGAAGTGCAAGACGACATACAGTAGCGTAGCATCATATATGTGAGGAAGTGCAAGACGACATGAAGAAGCGTAGCATCATATATGAGGAAGTGCAAGACGACATACAGTAGCGTAGCATCATATATGTGAGGAAGTGCAAGACGACATACAGTAGCTTAGCATCATATATGTGAGGAAGTGCAAGACGACATGAAGAAGCGTAGCATCATATATGTGAGGAAGTGCAAGACGACATACAGTAGCGTAGCATCATGTATGTGAGGAAGTGCAAATGAACGTTATTACCCCACCCCACCCCACCCCAATGAGCAAAAAAGCAACAAAAGTACGCGGCCGTCTACCAAGCGCGTGCCAACTACTCAAAATCAGCAAATTTCAAAACCCCGAGTACCATCCGGTACCCAATTTTGAGCCAGACCTGAATCCAACAACAAAACACAGGGGAAAAATCTCCGTTTCAGGATAAGCCCATTGCATATTGTCGGTTGTATCCCACCATGTCCACACTATCTCTATAAATAGATATAGATATATAATTATATATATATATATATTATAGATACATCCCCGTAAAGTGGTATTGTAAGTTTCCATTTTGGGGCAAAAACAATTCATTGCCCCTTTGGTTAAATCCCCCATTCTGTTTCATCATCCCAAGTATCATGATTATCCCATTGTTGATTATGTGTTGACGCAAAAAGAAGACAGCTCAATTGCCAACATTGTGATATACCATTTATCCTGATGGCCACGATCTCCCAAAACAAACTAATCCCAATAGCAATGAACATCTCATACGAATTATCCACATAAATTATAGCAACACATAGGAATCTCCACCTTGTCACCATGTGTCACCATGATTCCTCAGCGAAAAAATGCCAGACCATGAATGCTCCGGATGGGGAGGATGAGATGATGGCAGGCCAGAGGATTTCATGGATCAAATTAGACCATGATTTCTTTGAAATTGGATATCATTGGTAGCCATATGGTCTAATGATGTCTAATGTGGATACATTGGATATATGATCTATGTAGACATGATATATCCAACAAGACCAAAATTCTGATGAATTATGGTATGATCATTGGTAACAGTAGCCACAGTTCTAGTGCATAGTACCACAAGAATCCCACTTAGATAATTTATGAGAGCATCCTGGTTAGGATTGAAATTCCTGTAAAGGCCAAAGTGGTCTTCGATGTTAAGGGAATGTTACGGATGATGATGTTAAGGCCAGAAGTTTTCTGTCCAGCTTGGACTGCTATAGCCATGTTTTCGTAGTAAAGCACCGGTGTGGTCACCCAAGCAGGAAAAAAGGGTGCCCTGTTGGTGTGGCATGTTGGGCTCTTCACCTTCCGTTTTCTGTCTATGTGTGACTCGAGCCCAATTTTCTGCTGCATCCCAAGCACGCTTTGTTTTGGAAGAATCCGGCTGAAATTTAAGTCGGAAATTGCTCATTCCATAGCATTGGCAGCTGTATTTTTCAGGGAAATCTCCTGCGTTAACCAACCTTAAATCAGTCAGAAATCATCAACCAGCAAAACCAGAAAATCGGCACCTCCTTGAATGGCCATTGGGAATGATGATCCATTGGAAGTGGTTCCAACCATGATCATAGTGGTCATGGTAACATGCCCATTTCGTGGGCTTATACCACAAAAAATGGTGGCTGACCTAACTATGGCTACTAACCAGTTATTATAACTGGTTTCTATATTTATGGTTACTTAATCTTTTCCCTAACCAATTATAACTATGGTTCCTAACTGGTTTTTTTCGCGAGCAACGTGGTTCGTTGGGAATAAGGGATTTCTAGAACACAAGGTATGACCCTGACCCCGTCCTTGTTGGTAGCAGCTGGGAAGGAACTTTGGCATTCAAGGCGCTGTGTGTCGCTTTGTGGTAGGCTAAAACTAATCAGGAAAAAAATAGAAATCAAATTTCTGAGATGACCCAGGAACGGAGTTCGCCGGAGTTCGTCGGAGTTCGTCGGGGTTCGTCGGGGCCGAATTTGCTACGTGAAAATGTTGTTGCCAAAGTGGCAAAACTGATTATAAAAATGCGATTTTACTTTCTGCGTGCTGTTTTCCATGCGTTTTAGGGGCGAAAACGTCAAAACACACGTAGGAAATGTTTGGACATCTTTGCGCGCAAGGTTAAGTTCGTCGGAGTTTGTCGGGCTTAAAGTTTTACAGACTGCGTAAAGATCTTTACCAAAAGTGTCACGAATATTCTTTCCAAGGCCGGATTGAAACTGGAAATTCTTATTGTTCTGCTGGTCCACCTGGTTCAGTCTTATGCATTTCGGCAGACCTTATTCCCTACGAACCCGCAAGCTCGCGAAAAAAACCATTCCTAACAGCCACTTATATCCACTTACGATATATCAAGCATGGGTATACATTGGAGGATATACCAGTAACTTCCTTATACTTATAACTATGGCAATACTTATGGTAAGTATATGATTACTTAATAACTTAACGTATACTATATAGTATACTAATCATAACTAAGCATATTTACAATAGTATAAACTATGACATTAGTTTTACATATAGTGACATTATAAGTATAGTTGATATATATTTATATACTATATAGCATATAGTTAACATGAGTTTTTTGTGTTACTATATGCCAAGCATGACGACTTCCGAAGGCGTCTCTGGCGGCGCCTTCGGCGGCTACACCCAGTCCAACGTCGCGGCACGCCGTGTGGTGCCCAGCGAGGCAGGGGTGGTGGGATGGGTGATTGAAGCATGGGAATAGCTATTGAAAATGGCCATTTATAGTGACTTTTCCCATGAAAAATGGTGATTTTCCCATTAGTTATGTAACAAATTACCAGAGGGTAAGTGTTTAATCATGGTTTAGATTAGTTTAGTATGGTTTGATATGGTTGAAGGATGGTTGAAGTATCATCAATTGGGAATAGAATTCATCAGTGTTTTTTTTTGTCATTTGGTAATTTGTTTGCCATGGAAAATCAGCACTCTTACTGGGTAAATCATCTACCTATAGGCAATTTTCCTTGAATTTCTGGAGGGTAACTATGCTATCCTCAAAAGGTGGTCAATGGTACTTGGGTGCATCCCAACTAGTAAGTGTTTAATAAGTTAATAATCATTGTATAAGTGGGGAGCTGATGATGATGATGACGACGATGATGATGAGGATGACGATGAAGATGATGACGATGATGATGACGATGATGATGATGACGACGACGATGATGATGATGATGATGATGACGATGATGACGAATATGATGACGATGACAATGACGACGATGATGACGACGATACTGATGATGACGACGACGATGGTGATGATGATGGTGGTGATGATGATGATGATGATGATGACCATAATGTTGATGATGATGATGATGATGATGAGTAGTAGTAGTAGTGGTAGTAGTGGTAGTAGTGGTAGTAGTGGTAGTAGTGGTAGTAGTGGTAGTGGTAGTGGTAGTAGTAGTAGTAGTAGTAGTAGTCGCCGTCGCATTAGCATCAGCAGTAGCAGTAGCAGTAGCAGCAGCCACTTAGTAACTGTGATGCACATCCAAGTATAAAGGCAGCACACATAGTGGGAATATGTAATGGAGAATCGGGTTGATTGGAATATGTTCTGGAGATCATATCACCACTTTGCTACGATGTGATGATTCGGGTGTGTCTAAACCCCCAACACACACAATTTGGTCATTTGTGTGAAGAAAAAATGAACATTGTGATAACTAACCAGTGGTACCTTGTCCAGATAAACCCATATAGAACGTGTTAAAAAAAAAAAAACATTGGATGGAATGGGTTGTTTCCTGTATCTGTTTGAGATTGAGACAAACACACAGATGTTTGGAACATTCGGTTCTTCAGAAAAGTGAAGATGACTGCCAAAGACGATGGTTTTAGGGATTCATCAAAAACATAATATTCTGGCTGAATCACCGACACATCGTCGGGAACTAATCAGTACAAAACTGGGAATCTCTCTGTGTTTTCTTGTGGATTCCTTTGAGCAAATGCACCAAGATGATTTGATTGGTGAACGATCAACCAACATGTGTGTTTGGATGGATATTGATGGTAACTTGCCACCGCAAAAAAAATGGATCAGATCAAACACATGGAGATACGTCCATGGTATTTAAACATGTTCCATTGATGTTCTGTGCTACAGCTATTAGAGCCTTCCAACCAGGCATAATTTTGTATTGTTTGATTTTCCATGTCAACTTTTGAGTCTGTTGTTTGTGTTGCTCTTCCGGTGAAATGATATGTGTTGGACATTCTCGGGGTGTATCATTGTCAGTCAAGGACTTGCTTCATCAACTTAACTGGTAGTTTGTTCTTTGGATGCCTTGACGCTATCCCATCTATCCCATCTATCCCATCTCTCCGTTTCAGAAAAAAATACTGACATATTATAGTTACTGTAAGTTACTGTAGATTTGCAGGCAGACGTTGTCCGGTATTCTCCAGCCACGTTACCTCCAGTGGCTATCACAGGAGCAAAGGAAAGGCAGAAAGTTCGTGAAGGTCGTCTACGTTGTGTTGGAGTCGCAATATCAGTCTGCCCGGATCCCCAGCGATGCGTCGCGTCGTTTGTGTGGTTCAAGCACCAATTACCGGTAATCAAACATGGCAATGGAAAGTCCCCCATTGATAGATGAAAGTGTCCATTAAGACCTCCATGTATTAGGGGATTTTCATGGATTGTCCATTTCCACGTTTGATTACCAGAGGGTAGCCATGTGTTTGTCTCCATATCAGGGGGGAAGTATGAAATCCTTCGTGGTCCTTCGCGTTGGGCTGTAGGCGATGACCACAGCCATCCGACAGATCAACAAGACCCCTGGCCCCGTCTGCATGGAGTGCGTGGGATATTTGCTGGAGGACGTGCAGAGCTTGAGGGAAATGGTTATTAGCTCAAGATTGGTCATTGACAACAGCATAAATCGACAGGGGTTTAGCTGGGATTGTGGTACACACAGACTAATCAGAATGTGTAGCCCATATATGCCATTATATATATATTATATGCCCACATTCTGGGTTGTTTGTTTCGCAGAAATGGAGATTACAAACAAAGGTCAGTGTAGTCAGCAAGCATTGGGATGCAACGTCAGCAAACAGGAGATCCGAAGTCCCGAGAGCGAAGAGCAATTGGCCAAGGCGGGACGGCGGTGACATTGGGAAGTCCGAGATGTGCATATTTTATAAGGGGGTTGAAGCAACAGAAATGGTGATTTAAGTGGCAATGAAGCTGGTTTTGATTCATCGCCTATTTTGAGTTAGTTCAAGAATAGGGGATTTATCCTAATAGAAGGCCCATCTTCAGACAAAACCATATACAATCATATATATATATATATATATGGGAGGTGTCGCCTGCTGAGTGGCGCGCATGACCAGATGACGCATTTTGTTTGGACGGATATAATAGATAAATTTGTATATATATATATATACTGATATACCCCAATTCTCACAGAGTAAACTGTGACTTTATGACAATTTACACGAATAGACCAGCGAACACCTGGATATGTGTTTTTTTTCCTCATCAGGCTGTGCCTCGCATCCAAACGCTCTACATATGGGTTAGTACCCGCAAATCCAGTGCTTAAATCATAAGTTTCCCTATTGAATTGAACATAGTTTGGGTAATTTTTCGCAACAGCTTCAAACACGCCCTGAAAAAAATCCCTCAGATATCATGTCAAATTGGTTTGACATACTATATAATTAACAATTCTTAAACATTATTTTTGAATAAAAGGCATAATATGGTAACCATTATATCCCGACATATCCCCATTTGTTTGCTGAGGATCTGGACGATGCCAACATCTTTATTTGTCTCCTGGCTGTGGTAAGATTCACCATGGAGCTGCTGTGACACTGGGCAGGTGTTCGTGTCGTATCTTCGTTGGATCAACAGAAAATTGGGGATACTTCAACTAGAAAAAATGCGACGCATTGGTAAACTTAAGAATCAGGTCGATTTAGTGACGGGCTATGATTTGTCAAGGTGCCGCCCTGGGGCACATGGAACAATATGAAACAATTCTAGGTCCAAGAATCAGATGTCAGAACCATTTGATTAGTGGCTCCAGATGTTGGTTCCTTCCCTGGCCTGTTTCTAATGGGATGTCGGGTCACTTCACTGTCCGGGCTGGTGAATTGGCCACCGTCTTCTGGCTGAAGCCAGGAAGAATCTACACTGAGGCACCTGAGAAATGTCACATGGCATGTTTTTTCACCCAGCTATCACTACCTGGGTTTGTCTAAAAATGGTGTACCCCCAAATCCAGTAGTTTCGAGTCTTGAACCTCGTCTGTTCACATGGCCACACCTGGGGTTCCTGGTGAAATCCTATAGAGCCCAACAAAAGATGTCCATGCCATATGGATCGCCGGAAATCTCTCATTCCCCTGGTTCCCCTCCCCTCGATCCTGCAGGTTCCTTGATCTTCGTACAGGAACTGGCAGAGAAGTTGGTGAAGATCGTAGAGCCTCGTCGCGACCAGTTGGATGCCTGCCTGTGCTTCCCCTCCATGCCCGAGGCAACCCGGGACTGCGGGTGGCTTGAAGGGTTGAGCCCGGAAAAGACATGAAACCGGACTATCAGCCTTATACATGGGCTGATAGCGCTGAGCACGTTCGCCGCGAGGATTCACTCAAAGGGCCGAGCAAAAAAATATTGATATATCATTGCCATATATAAGTTCAAAATTTATATGTACTATATATGTAGACTCAGATATAGCACCACTTTTACAAAGGCTATCTTGTTATTCATCCTCCAGCAGGTGATGAAACAAAACAAGCTGGGCACCTTTGACTTGACGCAGATCGCCGGTGGCCCCTTGGGCAACTTCGCGCAGCAGGCGCAGGGTGAATCGTGAGGATGGGTTGAAACCCACATGTTACATATACAATACACAAATGAGGAATATATAATAATATATATATACATAAGTAACTCATATATACATTTTGTTACACATATGATAACATACATACATATATGATAGCATTGATACTGACAATGACGCATTCTTTGGGTGACATCCATGACACCATCAGATCTGGCTCAGCCTTTTTGAGAGCACCGGGATTTAGTGACATGCTCATATGGGCCTTGCGGCGTTGCGTCCATGTCAGGTGAAGGATCTGAGAAAGAATTCCCTGTCCAAGAACAAACCCGCCTCTGGTGGCAACTTCCAAGATAGCCTCTTGAAACTGGTAAGGACGCTGCCCAAGGCTCCAGTGCTGGTGATGAACTGGGGATTCACTGGAGAGGTGTTTTTTTTTTTGTGATACCTCCGATTTTTTTTGGGATTGACATGGATACGTGATTCAGATATATTCAATTCTATCCTGTTTTTTGTCGGGGGAGACGGGGTATTATATACTTTGGTTTACTCGTGGACGATGAACATCATATGAGATGGTGAGATGGCCCTAGAATAGAGACATTTTCAGGCGATATCAGACCCTAGGCCGATTTGATGTACTTCCCATTGTTTATCGTTTCAGTGAGATTGACACCCTGTTACATCATACTGCTTGGCAAAAATGGTTTCTTTGTGAATTGGGTGCTCTCACACTGGAGACTAGTGTAAACAATCGCCAAGTTCGCACTGGTGTAAATTTACCAGCCCATTGTAGTTTTTTTATTGAACTCCCCGTTTTTCTTGGCTGCGCCATATAATGCCTAATGATAACAACTGTTACAGTTATTTCTGTATCACTATGTGAAATTTCCTATTTTGAGGGTTATAATTGCAACACTCACCGCCCATGTTATAAGTTGCACATACCCTTTTGGTTATTTTAAGAACGGCAAATCATCAGTTCTATTATCTATTTTCATGGGCCATCTATACAATTATATAGCTATGTTGAATAACCAGAGAGTAATTCCCATGATTATCCCCTATGTTTGATCATTTTTGTTGGTTAGATCCCTATCAAAGTCATCATAGAATCCAATTAATTCAGCATAAAAGTCCCATGAAATACCATTAAATATTAACATCATCATAGAATACAATTAAAATCACCATAAAATCACCATAAAATCGCATGAATTCCCATTAGATCCCACTAAATCACTATGAAATCCCTTTTCCCTCATTCCCCTGGGCAGGTGCTCAAGTTCCTCCCTGGTGAGCAGGCCGCAGACGCCAGGACCGTTTCGCAGACCCCCAACATTGATGGTGAATGAACAACAGTGTCGGTGGTATGTATATATATATATCTATATCTCTATATATGTATATATATATTATATTATATATATTACATAGCAAAATAGCGAACAACATGGGGCAGAAGACATTGGAATTTATATAGATAATGTGATGTTCCCCATGGTTTTCGCTGCCCGTTACCACTGCAGTTACCACTGCTGGTTTTCAGGACCTTCGTCCTCTCCTTGCAGCACTGGCTGGGTGGAACCCCCGAGAACTTGGAGGTGGACGAAGGATTTCTCGCGAAATCATCGGAAAAACTTTTTAATTCACACCACTTGGACAACTATTTGTTGGAGGAAATGAATCCCCTTTTTTGTTGGGTGATGTGAAAAAAATAAGACATGTACCAACCCCTGTCTCAGATGAATTGGATTTGAATAACATGATTATTGACCTTCCCACATGAAAATCCACAAGACATGGGGAATCTACTGGGAATATGTTTCATTGTTTATGTCAGTGTTGCCCTTAATTCAATATGATGGGTAGGTGAAATCATTCCAAAATGGCGGCCATTGAGTTTTTTGCCTCTGGTGAATCAAGCAAAACTTGAACGGATGGATATAGTCATATAGTCATAACACATCCTGCGAGGATTTCATTGTAGGAAAAGCGCAACGATATATAATATAATATATATATATATACATATTTATGTACATCAATGAACGTCAATGTGTGTTCAGAATCCCTATCAGTGCATATTCTCTTTATGCAACTTGACATTTACTTCTAGCTAGATTTAGTCTGCCATGCTTTTGCCTGGTCAATACGAACTTTGGTGGATTTCTGTTCTTGGCAGCTCTTTTTTGATATGGGTGGGCAAAGGGATACCCTCCAATATCCCTGGGGTTATCATAATTGTCCCTATTTGGATTCCATAACTTGGGGATATGACATTCACGGGTCAACCAGAGACAATGAGATTCCAAACCGCTGAATTTTTGGGGCCAGTTTCAGATGCACCCAAATATATCCAAATATCATATCAAGTTGGTTACAGTATATATATTCAATATATATATATATACAATTATCAAGTTGGTTACAGTATATATATATATGGTACTGTAAAGCTATATCTTTTGGTTGGTGTTCCAAGGGAAAGTGCAGGCCAGTTTCAGTGACCAATCGACCAATCATGCAGGCCATGCTGCTGAGAATTGCTGGTGGCTATGTGCCAGGTGTTGAGGCAGGCCCGCAGGTGACCGATGTGGCCAGGCTTTTTGTGCACAGCAGTTGATGTTTTGTTAATGGATTCAATGAAACCCAACATATGTATATATATATATATACATACATATGTATACATATATATATATATACATATACATATTATATATATATAGGTACAACTACATATACACGGATTAAGTACTATTTACGAGCAATGGTGTGATTATCACAACATGATCTACCAACGGTAATACACCCCCCTATTAAACACCCCCCAGAAACCATCGTTAGGGGCTTGGTCCCACATATTTGGGACCCTAGAATGGGGTTGTTACATATTAGGCGGATGGGATCACTCATGAGACATGATCAGTAGATTTATGGCATTTTAGCATATTTTCACCTACCCTCTGGTAATGACTAACAGTTTGCTATTGAAAATGGCCATTTCCAATGGGAAAATCCACTATAAATACTATAAATGGTCAATTTTCAATAGCAAACTGTTCGTCATTACCAGAGGGTACATCTTCTTCGGGGCTTAGGACCATAATCCCAGCAACTCACGGGGAGACCCGGAGAATCGCCCATCCCCCGGCAGGAGATCGACACCGAGAAGTTGATGGAACCTGTGGTGCTGCCAGACATGGGCATTTGGCATCCGTCCCTCTGCGGTGAAGTGGGCTGGTAATCTGTTTAGTGGTGCGACTGACTATAATAATAATAATAATATATATATATATATGTACATGATTTTATATAGGTTATGTGTATTTATATATATATATATTTACAGCATGCAGAACCAGGTAATCAGAGTCATGACAACCTAGATAGTTATTTCTGGAAAAGATCAGGCAGATGTTCGACGGTAGTTACTCACTCACTCACTCACTCACTCACTCACTCACTCACTCACTCACACGCTCCACAGGGCAGCCGTCCACGTCCAGAAACAGCCTTAGTGTATAACCTCGGAACGACACTAAGCAGCGCCAAACATGTTCTGTAATTATAGGTGGCTGCTGGGAGAAGCAGGAAGCCTGCCTCACTAACATCACCGCACTCCATGCAGGAGAATGTGCAGAGTGGAGTTGCACGAACGGACAAGCAAACGGCACACAGCGAGCATTGCTCAGCGCTGATGGCAAGCAAGCCCGGCACACACACTGCCAATCACTGTCTCTCAGTTGTTCTTCACACCAAGCTTCTGCACCAAGTCGATGGCTTTCTGCTCAAGTGACCCACGTGGAGCCTGGCCAAAGAATTGCACTCTGCCGTTTGTCACAACTGCTGCGACAAGCCTCTTCAAGTGGCCTGTGAGCACCTGCCAGCCGCAGGAAGAGCTTCTTCTGCGTGGAAGCATGCATGTTCTGCACTCTGCACACCTTCACTGGCACACGAAGTCATCAATCAGCTGCTGGAGCGGGGCTTTTGCATTGGTCTTCACTGCGAGCAGCAGCGCGACCAAAGCATACTCATCAGGTTGGCCTTCGTCGACGGTAGTTACTACTTGCAATCAGTGGTGTAGCTGTTTTCTGCGACCTAACGCGATCATGGTACTACATATATTACCAGGCCCTGGGTGAACTCACCCAAAGCCATATGGCTACATATTGCTGACTATAACATTCAATCTGTATATATATATATATATACATGTTTATTATACGTATACATACATACATACATACATACACACAGACAGACAGACAGACAGACAGACAGACAGACAGACAGACTGACATACAGACATACATACATGCATGCATGCATGCATACATACATACATACATACATACATACATACACACATATACATACATGCATACAGACACACACACATACACACATACACACATACACACATACACACATGCACACATGCACACATGCACACATGCATACATGCATACATGTATACATGCATACATGCATACATGCATACTCACATTCACACATGCACACATGCATACATGCATACATTCATACATGCATACATGCAAACATACATACAGACAGACATACATACATACATACATTACAGAAATGCAGACATAGATTCATACATTCATACATTCATAGAGTCATACATTCATACATTCATACATGGATACATAGATACATCCATGCATGCATGCATGCATACATGCATACATGCATACCCACATACACACATACACACATACACACATACAGACAGAAATACAGACATACAGACAGACATACAGACATACATTCATACAATCATACATTCATACATTTATACAGTCATACATTCATACATTCATACATACATAGATCCATAGATACATAGATACATAGATGCATGCATGCATGCATACATGCATACAGACATACAGACATACAGACATACACACATACAGACATACAGACATACACACATACAGACATACACACATACACACATACACACATACAGACATATACACATACACACATACAGACAGACATGCAGACATACAGACAGACATACAGACATACAGACAGACAGACATACATACAGACAGACGGACATACAGACATACAGACAGACAGACATACAAACATACAGACATACATATGTATACATTTGTATACTTATATTTATATACACACACATTATGTATATACACATATATATTTACATACATATGTGTATATATATGTATACATACACATATTTATGTATACATATATTTATATACATATTTATACATACATTTTTTTGTTTATATACATATATACATATATATACATTGGTCTGCCATTTTATGAGTAGTGACAGTCGCAAGATGTTGCAAGTGAGTGACAGTCGAAAGTGAGTGGATGTGACATTCGCTAGTGAGTGGTTTGCCCTATTGCTGTGTGTTATTACAACAAAGAGGGGTAGATAGGGGTAGCATAGACAAATATATATATATATATATACATATGTAAATATGTAAATATAGTATCGTATGTGATGTTTTCCACCAACCCAACCATTAAACGCTGAGGCTGGCCCCGCAGATCTTTGATACCATGGACGAGTACCGTGAGTGGTACGACAACGTGGCTGGGCTCTTCCCATGACAGCGGTTGGATGACCAACAGAAAATGGATATGTTCAAAGGATTAAATGAGGATGTTTGATGATATCATATATGTATTTCTAACCAGCATGATGTGATTAACGTGGGTGTGTCTGGAAATTGGGACTAGCCACAAACTATTTCAAGAGAGAACATGATGATGAAACAAATTGATTCTAGGGCACTTTTTTTTTTCGACAAACCTGTCCGGTCAGATTATGAGGTTTTTCAAAAATGGTCGCCTTTTGTCGACCTGACAAGAAAATATGATTTGGATGATTGGGGAATGATACAACCATATTGCATCATATTGCCTCTTTCAGCTTTGTGAACAATAGTAATTTGTCCAAATGTTGAACCATGGGAGATTGCCATGTTTGTAAAAACTGTTTTCAGACTGGACTAGGGAATAACATTTAAAAGATCTTAAAAGGCAATGCTTGTTGGGCATCATTTTAAGACACGGCCCAGCTGGCAAAGTTGTAACCTGTCAAAAGCGGTTCATGGAGTTCATGGATGTTTCCGGTCAAATCATCAATTATTCCTTATAATACCCCAAATTTCTTGCTGGTAAAATCCCAAAGATATGGTTTTGTGCGAAAATGGTATATCCCAAATGTTCATGGTTTATCCTCATTTTCTCTAACCCCACTGTCAACTTGGGGTATATCCAATTTTTAGGCAAACCCAAATATCTTGCTGTTGGTCATATATATATATAGATACTGATATACATATTATATATATATCCTAAGCAAAGTTCCCATTCCTTCCCCATTGCTTTCCATCATTGCCCATTCCACCTGCCGAGGTGCACTGCCCCGCCGCCGGCATCCTGCCGGACGCCCCGTTCATCGGCCTGGTCCTGCAGAAGTCGCACATCGCCACCAAGGATGATGGCCATTACGTGGCGCGGCAACGGGGGCGTTTCCCGAGGTCGGAGATGCTCGAAACGGAAGATGCTTATTATGTAACACGGTGAAGATACCCTCTGGTAATTGTTACATCACCATGGAAAATCACCATTTTTTAATGGGAAAACTCACTATAAATGGTCATTTTCAATAGCTATTTTGACATAACCAGAGGGTATGTTTTGCTGTTTGTGGTTTGATGATAGATTTTGAGATTGAACGAAGACCTGTATTTTTTAGAGATAATATGTTTAGAAATGTTTTGAACAAGATTGTTTTATGTATTATTTATGTAATATAAACGCCATTAATTTTCGTCATTGCTGGCTCAAACCCTTTAATGTAATCTGTGCGTGTATCCCAGGTCTGTCTAGTTGCCCCGCAATAAAAACCACCAAACATACCAAATAAAACGAGAGTAAATCCAACACAATCTCACCAACACGTCACCTAAAATCCCCAAGTCAAATCCAATATTCCAACACATCGACCAAAATCCAACTTCAGAATCCCAAGTAAATTAATATAAGTATCAGTATGTCAACTGATTTTATCATTCATTTAAAAGTCCCATATTTTTTCAAGGTCCCATTCTGAATGACCAACGGGCCCACCGGGCGCGGTAAGGTGGGCATGGTCCAAGAGCTGGAGCGTCGCGGTGCCCGTGTGGCCTGCACCTACACCGGTGGCCTGGATTTCTCGGTTCCCGTGCAGGACAGCGAAGTGGGTAGTTGTTTAAGAGGTTAACTGTGGTTATATGGTTATAGTATCTTTATGTATCTTTATAAGCAAATTGGATGCTCTAAGTTATAAACCAAATATGTATGTTTTGATATGTTTTGTTTTGGTTTTTTAATTAATACTTAGGGTTGTGGGTGTGATAAATTATACACCAACTTGCATCTAAGTTATAAAAATTGCTAGTGATTATAGCAGATATATCGAACTAGTTAACTAGTTCACGAAACCAACATGACTAGGGGGCACCACCTTGCATGAACACTGCGTTCACCGACTGGAGCAGAGCAGAATCAACAATTCCGGGCCAAGCGACAGGATGGATTGTTTAGTACAAGTTCTTTTGTTTTTCTGTAGAGATATACTTAAAAGATCTTAAAAATTGTTTGGTTTTCGCAGGGTATGTAAGATTGGCATGAGCAGAGAACAGAAACATTGAAAACTGCTAAATTCATGGGTACATCCGGAAAATAAAAACAACGCATGAGAACACACTATTTGGATTTCAAAGATGCTAGTTACAATAAATTATATAACTTATTAGTATTTATTAGTATGGTTTTAATGGCGACCCAAGGATATCAATTTCACTGCTACCCATCAAATATCAGGAAATTCACAGCACTTGCCAACCCTGAACAAGTTCAGATCCCAGACCATACATGAAGTCTTTATACCAAAGTTCTACCTTACACATACATGCATGCATGCATACATCCATACATCCATCCATCCATCCATCCATACATACATACATAGATAGATAGATAGGTAGATAGATAGATAGATAGATTAGATAGATTAGATAGATTAGATAGATTAGATAGATTAGATAGATTAGATAGATTATATAGATTAGATAGATTAGATAGATTAGATAGATTAGATATATTAAATAGATTAGATAGATTAGATAGATTAGATAGATTGGATAGATTGGATAGATTGGATGATTAGATATATAGATTGGATAGATTGGATAGATTAGATAGATTAGATAGATTAGATAGATTAGATAGATTAGATAGATTAGATAGATTAGATAGATTAGATAAATTAAATAGATTAGATAAATTAGATAAATCAGATAGATAGATAGATTAGATTAGATTAGATTAGATAGATAGATACATATATACATACATAAATGTATACATATATATATATGTTATGTAACAATTACAATGACAATAACAATGATACGACGGCTATTGCTATACTACTACTGCTATTACTACTAACAAACAAAAATATAAGGACATAGAATATATGCAGTACAGTACTCATAATAGCTTTACAGACATGTTATTCTGCATAATATGTACAAGACATGCACTCTTTGGTTATTTAACATAGCTACGGAATAGATCCCCATTGAACATTGTGATTTCCCATGGCACACTGTTAAATTATCAGAGCTTATATTCCATGATATTCCAGTAGATCTCATTATTCATCCCATTATATCCCATCAAATATTCAGTGATATCCCCTTTAATACATTATATATATATACACACATATATATATATATACTATATATATACGTATATGTATATATATATATACATATATACATATGTAGATATACACATATACATTTAGTATATATATATATAATATATAGGATATATAGTATATATCCCATAAAGCTCACTGATTCTTCACCACGCCACGCCACCAGGAGTACTTGGCCAGCTCCAACGGCGAGGGCGTTGTGGATGCTTTGGTGAATTTGACGGGCTTCTCGCTGGTGGGCGGACCTGCCTCTCAGGACGCCAAGAAGGCGTGAGATGTGGTGAAAACCATGGGATTTCAACGGGATTTCTGGAGGACTGATGTGGAAAATCCTATTTCTGGATGGAGGACTGATGTGGGTAGCAATTTTAGATGTGGCTTTCTTAAATATATAATTTATATATATATAATATATACTTAAGTAAAATCCCCCCATCTCCTGGCTTTCTTTCAAAGTGATTCCGTTGACCCGGAACATCCCACCGGAAATGGAGCAAATCCGAGGATTACCGGAGGGTATCGATCTCCGGAGGATTAACGTAGTTGAATCATGCATCTGGGGATATGGATATATATATATATATATACTGGTATATATATACTGGTATATATATATACAGATTGATATATATATATATACAGATTGATATATATATATAGAGAGAAATTACGGTGGATTTGCTAAAGATGATCTTGATGTGTTTTTTTTTGAAAATCCATCAGACATGGTTTATTTGTTTGGGGTTCCTTCAGCAAATCCAGGATTGTTTGGGTTTAACATGGTTTAACTAGAATGATGGTTGATTGATGATGATGGGATTTATAGGAACTTATATGGATTTATCCAGGTTTGACCAGATTTTCAGTGTTATGGCCTCTTGTACTGTAACACTTTGCTGTGGTATAGATGAACTATTTTCATAGTCCGATTCTTTGCCGATAAATAATAATTAATATAAAGAATTGTCATTTTCCCAAATAGATTCTTAAATGATCCGATGTGAACTATTAAATTATCAGATGGTAGTTGCAATGTTTTAGTCAAAATCAGTTCAGATTTTTTTTCTTTCCATTGAACATGGTTGGCCATAGGGATTTGAACCAACAATGGGGAGTTAACCAACTTTTTCATGGGGATATCTTATGGGATGAATGGAATCTCACACTAAAAAATATATCTAAATGTAACCAATATCATGACACTAAATACAACCAATATCATGATGATTAGTTAGTGCTTTCAAAATCGTTTAAATATGTGTTATCTTCAACCCTATTTGGGATGATTAAGTAGGGTTTGAAAACACCATCATGGATCAAAGTTTAAACATGAATTGGTGCATTTCCGAGTGAAGGGCATGATACATCGAAGTATACAAGTGAATTTGCCCTGATAGGTTTCCTTTTCGTACGTGGTTTATTGTTGGATGCTGCTGGAACTTCATCTTTGTTCTCCGCTGACCCCTTTGATATAGGTAAATCTTGCTTTGGCCCGCTGATATAGGTTTACGTTCTGGATGACCAATTGGAGGAACGACACAGTAATCATATTTATACTTAAAATATATACATACATTATATATATACATATACATTTTATATACATATATACATTATATATACATATATATACATATATATATATATATATACATTATATATATATATATACATATTTACAAATTGTATAACTACGATGATTCCCACTAGATGTGTTGTTTTGGTGTGTGGAAGTACTATCCAAAGTAGGGCCTTCCGGGCCACTCCACCCTGGGCGAAAGGCCAAAGAGGTTCTGATGAAGTTGAACCGTCCCTACATGGCAGCTTGGTATGGCTTGCTATGACTGCAGGGGTCCAACAAAAAATGGCGAGAATATGGTAGAATATGGGATTGATTAGATATAATTAACATTAATCAACACCATTTTGATGCACTTTTGACAAAGGAAATTAATATGAACATATGAACATGAGTATCAACTGATCGGAAGGTTCAGTAGCGAATCGTAAGCGGGTTAAGGGGTCTGCAGGTTTGACTCTATGGCAAAACATAGCGCAAAGTTTTGTGTGAACGTGGGGATGAATTAATTAAAAACTTGCAAACAACCACGTGTGTTAGTCTTATAATTACTTGGGTACCCCCAAATCCATCGTTTATTATGTTATTTAAGACAAACCCATATATACGGGGATGGACATCCATAAATCCAGCCAGAGTTTGACTGTTGATTCAGTACCATGAGATGGTAGGATGTTTGATATTGTTTGAGCATCCGCTCTCTTGGCACATATTGGATATATTATGTATATATATATATATATGTTGGAAGAGGATTTATTAAAATTTAATACATTTACCCTCTGGTAAACTAACATAGCTATGGACAATCACCATTTTTAATGGGTAAATCCACTATAAATGTTGTATTTTCAATAGCTATTTTGACATAACCAGAGGGTATATAAATCCCAAGGTTGGTGATTGAATCTTCACTTTCGGCCTGGTTTTGTGTGGTCCATAAAAGCATTAACCACTTGAAGTTGTAGTTCCAGTTACTGGGGGTTAGGATCCCATGGTTCTACTCATGAATAACCCCAACGCCCAAAAAAATGGTGATATATCACGCTGTATCACCATTACATCATATATCCCACTATATCATCAATCACCACAATATTTATATATATATACATATACAGTACATAATAATAATAATAACAAAAGGTAATAATAATAATAATATATATATACAGTACATATATATATATATACATATATATATATAAATAATAATATATATATATATTATCACCATTAAATCCCATTAAATCATCATAATTTGCTCAGTGACATCACCCCCAAATCCGCCGCGCTGAGGTGAGTGTGCCACTGGTCTTCCAGTCCTTCACCGAGTGGCAGAACAGCCAGCTGGGACTCCACCCTGTGCAGGCGATGGGGCTCCGAAAGGAAGTCATGGTTAGTGGTTGATAGTGTTAACTATGGGTTAACCACTTCATACAGGTTATGTGATTAAATAGTTGATGTATTTATTAACCACTATTGGTTAACTATTGGTTAGTGGTTAACTATTGGTTAGTGGTGTTAAATACAGGTGAACTTACCACTTCATGCTGGTTATGTTTTTTGTGATCTTGGTTGAGAATGGTAAACAACGATAAATGCCGGTGACCCGGTGTTTTTTTTTTCCGATCCCCCGTTGATGTGAAACTTCCCCAACTTTTGAAGCTTAAAACTCAATGGTTGTAACCTTAAAACACGCAACTGTACCGCCGAAAGAAACTATATATGATAATTTTATATAATTTTTATAATATATATATATATATATGTGATTCATATTTACCCACAAACCCCCATTCAATCCCATTAAGTCACCATGAAATCCCATTAAGTCACCAGTACTGTAGATCATATTAAAACACATGAAATCCCATTTTTTATCACCATTGAATCCCTATAAAATCCCATGACATCACAATGTTTGTTGGTTAAATGAGCATCCCTAACTTACCGTCACCGCCAGCAGGTGGCATTGCAGGTGTCTCTGCCTGAGATCGACGGCGCCATCGAACCTCTGATCTTCTCGGGGCGCGATGGCACCAGTGGACGCTCCATCCCTATGCAGGCTCCGCGGATGGTATCAAAACAGGGGTCTCAAGCAACTGAAACTCACAAAAATGATGAGAATCACGGGGATTTCAGATGATTTCAGATGATTTAAGCAAGACTTGTGTGGTGATCTAGTGATTTGATGTATAAATTGATGTAAATTATGGGGATCCCATGGGATTCCCCTGCAACGACCCCCGGATCCAACGGCGGACTCCGCAGAGGACCGTATCGGCAGCCTGGCCACACGTGCGATGAACTGGGCCAACCTGCGTCGCAAGTCCAACGCTGAGCCTTGGGCCGATAGGAAACTGGGGGCCAGGTACCCTCTGGTAATGACTAACATAGCTATGGAAAGATCCACCATTTTTCATGGGAAAATCCACTATAAATGGTGATTTTCCATAGTTATGTTAAATTACCAGAGGGTAACATGGTTTAGCAAGTTTTTGGCCAGCAAAATTTGGGGTTGAACGATTGAGCCATGTTGAACCAACCCAAAATATCCCGAATTTAGATTTCACTGGCGATTATACTATAAAGTGACCAGAAAAGAGGAATTCATTGATATAACCAGCAAAGACGTGGATCGAATCATCAATAAACGGGGATGATGGGGATTAACCAGCAACAACATGGGGGCTGAACTGGTAATCAATAGAATGTACCCGAGTTGAAGTGTGTCTCGAACTTGGGTATACCAGCAATTTATGACGATGTAGAGGGAAGATGATGATGAATCATGGGATGTTTAAGCACTTGATCTCCCCATGGCCAGTGGCTTGACTCCCGGCCCAATGGGTTCCAACCATGGGTTCCGGGTCAGATTTCGTGGACGGGATTCAAACTCCTGGCTGAAATTGATGAAATTGGAAGTAGGGAATGGCCATGTTAGGCCCTAAAATTGTAGAAGAGTTGGGTCATTTGTTTCCTCTTTGGTTTGGGACTTTTATCATCTTTTATCCATTTTCCATGGGTACTTGGAGGGTCTAAGTCTAAGCCGTAAGTTCTTTAGAATCAGGAGTTTCCTTTTCCGTCGTAAGTTGTACCTCATGGCTGCCTGCACTGCGAAGGAAAAGAAGCTGAGCATTTGCGTGTTCCAGTTCCCCCCTGACAAGGCACAAACATCGCCAGACTGTTCAGGGGCTGTGTTTGGAAAAAGAATGGAGCCAGTTCATTTTCGGATCATGTTTAAAGTTAGAGATCCACCAGCTACCTCCGGTGGCGATAAGAATTAGGTTTTGAAAGAGATGGTAGGAATGTTCAACTCTTCCAATCCGACCCGAACGACTCAGCTTAGTCAGCTTAGTGATTTGGTACTGGAATTAGATTCGGATTTATGGTCCTTTTTTTTTTGGCACAAGACCCTTAAATCATGCGAGTTATGTATATCCTATTTCAGAATCCATGAAATATCAGAAATATCCCCAGTTTATTATGGTTGGCTTAATGTTGGCTTAATGTTGGCTTTATAGTTTACCATCTGGTTATTTAACATAGCCATGGTATAGATGGCCCATTTATAGATGGTTTACCTATTAAAAATGGTGGATCTTTCCATGGCTATGTTAAATAACCAGAGCGTAATTACCCCTACTATTTTTGATGGTTGCCACGCACGCCATATCTCTCTCGTTCTAGCCAAAGCCAGGGCAATGTGGGCACCGCTGCTTATCTGGATGTCTTTGGGAGCATCTATGCAGTCATGAAGGAGCTGCAGTCACCCGGAGCGTTGCCCCTCCCAATTTTATGGTTGGTAGTTTTATAGAGGGAAAAAATGATGTTCCCGAGATGATGTGTTTTTCTGAAGTTGGGTATCCCATTTTTCGGAGAAATAGATAGTTGGAACCTTGTTTTGAACCTCATGTTCGATGGTTACCCTCCATTCTATGATTCAAAACATCATGTTCGTAAGAGAAAAAGTTGAGTTTCAGGCATGTATCTTGCGACCTCACCACAAGCGAGGTTGGTAGAAGGTGGTTGGGTTAGGGGGTCCCAGAAATGGCTTGTGCTGAGTTTATGGACTGTGGGAAAATTGATGAAAATTGTCCATTGATTTCTAGATTCCAGGAATCCTCAATCACGCTTAGATGTAGCATGATGTAGCTATCTTTTACCGAAGGTGTGTGATTCTGGTTGTGATCCAGTGCTGAGGGACTATGGTAGGCTTTGCAAGGAATCCTATACTCGGTAGGATCTAATGGGGAAGCTGCGTCCTGAAGCTTGGTAGGTGTCCAAGTCAGAAAGCAGAGAAGATCAGGATCCAACAGTTTGGATGAATTGGAATGAGTTGGACAGATTCACTCCTAGAATTGGATGATTGGACAATTTGACAGGACACCTATGAACTCTGTATATGCTGGGTGTAAAAACATGTTGTTTCCTCTTTTTTTTCAAACTGAAATGTGTCCAGCCCATCTGTGTTGCTGTTGTGTTGCTGCCAGCCCCTTGAAATCAACTTCTAAGATTCGACCGGGGCCCCACCAGGAGCTGAAAAAGCAGGGCTACACCGTGGAGGATATCCCTGACTCGGTCGAAGGCAACTGCGATTTTGGGACCTGGGGGACTAAGCCAAGGTCAGGGATTTATTATTTTATAGGGAATTATAATCATTTATAAGCTATTTATACATATAATTTGTAAGTTATCGACCATCCTATAAGATCCTTATGTTTGGTTGATTTGTTTAGATAATTTATAAGGATTCGTCAGGATCTATATAATATATGGGATTTGATAAGGATTTAGGGACTATTTACAATATTTTGCAAAATTCTATATATATAGAGAGGTGAGTAGAAATTATGCATTCATCAGTCGCAAGGATTTGACCAACTTTTACGCTAAATGGTGGTCCCAAAGTAGGTAGTTGATCTGATCAGATCTATTAAGCTAATGTTGTCTCTTTGGTGCCCTGATATAATACCCATAGGATCCATGTATGGTATATATGCTAACATTTGGGGTATATTGATGATAAATGTTACCATATATAGCATACATGGATCCTATGGGATATATCCTTAGTTTATTGATGTTTATTTTATATGGATATTCATTGTTTGTAATTTACATAATGTGATTTAATGTGATTTGATCTCCCGGACATTGTACGACTTGTCCATGAGAGCTGGGTGAGGCCTGCAGAAGTCCATCTTGGAAGACCCAGAGGCTGCCATGTCGATGTCCGAACTGAATGTGGAATACCGCATGAGTGTGGATGAGTACAAGGAGAGATGGCAGAGACAGTGAACAACCTTTATCACAGGGAACAAATGTATGGAAAGATGATGGGGGAGAGTCGGGATAGAGGCTCTAGATAGATGTGTGATACGTAATCTTATATAATTAATTATATAGTTACTCAGTCAGATTGTACGGTTCAATATATATATATATATTATATAGTGTTTGTTTCAGTACATATATATATATATATATACATAACTAGTTGTCCGCAACCTTAACGTTCGCCCAGACTCATCATGGTGACATAACAGAGACAATTCTGTGTTGATGGGAAGTTGCGAATCCAAGCAAGGCCAAGGGGGAAAATTAGGCCACGGTGGCATGTGAAAGATACCTTGAATACAGTTATCTTCATGATCAAAACATATCACCTGACCATCATGAGGGATCAAAATCCGCCACCGCCTATGACCAATATGCTGAACAGGCTAACAACATGCCACCCTCTATGGCCAATGTTGAATCTTGTTATTACATCAACATTATATATTATCTTCATGAGGGAACAAAATCCGCCACCCCCTATGACCAGTATGCTGAACGGGCTAACAACATCAACTTTATCTTCATGAGGGATCAAAATTCACCACCTCCTCAGAACAATATTTTGGTTGCGGAAATAACATCAACTTTGTCATCATGAGGGATCAAAATTAGCCACCCTCTCTGAACAATACGTTGATTGCGGGACATCAACTCCGGGCAAACGTCCAGGTTGCAGCGAACTAGTTTAACTAGATAATGATCATATCATATTCATAAATATATATATATATATATATATATATGGGCCAAGGCTTTTGTTCCCCGCCAGGAGTTGTGCCCTTTCTCTGAAGACCTGCATGAGAACTGGGGACCTCCACCTGGCGAGCTGAACACCGATGGCCAGGACCTCTTGATCTACGGTGCATTGGCAAAAGAAATGGCGCTCCAATCCCGGTGGGAAATGGTGATTTCATGGGGATTTCATGGTGATTTAATGGTGATTTAATGGTGATTTAATGGTGATTTAATGGTGATTTCATGGTGATTTAATGGTGATTTCATGGTGATTTAATGGTGATTTAATGGTGATATAATGGTGATTTATTGGTGACTTCATTGGTGATTTCATGGTGATGTTTTTTGATGATTTAATTTGATTTAATGGTGATTTGTAGGGATCTAACCGACAATGATGAAACATGGGGATATTATATAATGGGAACTACCATTTGGCCATTTAACATAGCTATGGACAATTACCCATTTATTGATGATCGAAATGATGAGAGTTCAATGTCCTCCAGTGACTGCGTGTCGAGGCAAGAAGTTTGGCAACATCTTCCTGGGTGTGCAGCCCACCTTCGGCTATGAGGGCGATCCCATGAGGCAGCTGGTTGAGATAACAACTTCGATCCTTACCCTCTGGTAAACATACAAAAAGCTATTGAAAATGGCCATAGAAATAGTAGATTCACCCATTCAACATGGTGATTTTCCATAGTTACGTAAACGTTTACCAGAGGGTATACTGGACAATCTCACTTTGAAACATTCTGGTTTATTCAACATATATAGGTTTGAGTAGTTCCTGATCTTCCCATAGAAAGCCCCATTCAAAAGCGCCATTTTTTGGTGGATTTTCCCAAGCCTCGCCTCAGGCTGCTGTTTGCCAAGAGCGCATCGCCTCATCACGGCTTCGCGGCCTTCTACACCTATTTGGAGTTCATCTTCAAGGCGCGACACTGGCCACCAGTGTTCACTGTGTGGATGTTTCTGGATGGAACATGTCGTCATAATATGCTGGAACACATGTACTGTATATATATATATATGTACCGTATATATATATATATATGTACATATATATATATATATATACATATGATGGTATGTATACAGTACATGTTTCTGGATGGAACCATCATATTTTTGGATATACACCATGATACACCATATATACTGTATATCCAAAAATATGATGGTTGATGATATTCTGGTGTATCATGCATGGTGTATCTGAAAACGTGTTGCTAAAGCACCAATTAAATTCAACTCATATGAAAAATGATGAGACCCCGAAGGGGTGGTTGATGCACTCGATGCTGATTAGGACAGATGGCCAGCTGCTGGTACATCCAAGAATTTGATCTACCCGGTTATCCTCGGGTAATCCAAATTGGCAATGGAAAATCCATCATTTTACCAGTTAATAGATGATTTTATAGATGATTTTACCAGTTAATAGATGATTTTATAGATAATTTGGCAATTTATAGATGATTTTACCCTTAAAACTTCCAGTTATAAAGGGGATTTCCTATTGCCATGTTTGATTACCGGAGGGTAATTGGCAAGAACGGCAAACGCACCAACAAGCAGCAAATACGAAGATTGACACCAACAATTTTTCTGGAGCAACAACATCGACGATGCCAGTGGTATAGTGGGAGCCAAACGAAACCCATGGAGATATCTTTAAGCTTGTTCGAATTGTGGATGACATACCCAACCGCAACTACCATGCTGTATCATATTTTTCCTATTAAAGTGCCATAACTTGGGGGTACCACCATTTTTAGACAAAGCCAAATGTCATTTCAAGTTGGCTAGACATAATGTCATATCCCCTTTTACCAGCATGCCCCTGATATTTGTTGGCTAAGTCTTCCTCAGAGCCACACCCAAATCATCATATCATACCAGGTCACCATCACACATTTCTCCATGATATCCCAACATCACTTACCCTCTGGTAAACATACAAAAAGCTATTGAACATGGCCATTTATAGTGGATTTTCCCATTAAAAATGGTGATTTTCCCATCAGTTATGTGAACGTTTACCAGAGGGTACCGGAAAATTGATCAGTCGACAGTTGGTCAGACCATCTCCAGAGATTCCCAGTAAATCCCCCAGCGGGGCCACGGCGAAGGCGGATGCCTTGCTGCACTTTGGCACCCACGGCTCCTTGGAGTTCATGCCTGGGAAGCAGGTGGGCATGTCAGGCGCGAAACGATGCGAATCGGGCGGTGAGGCTGGGGAGCTTCAGAATGTTGATTCGTGTGCTTTTTGATCAGAAGTGATGATGATTTATTAATCATTAATAATCAGACTGATACAATAACATATTGGTATGTATATATATATATATATACACATGTTTAATTTTCATAATCGTCGTTGTCGACATCATCATTGTCATCACCACCATCATCATCATCATCATCACCATCATCATCGTCATCGTCATCATCAGAATAATAATCACCATCATCATCGTCATCATCAGAATAGTAATCAACAATCACTAATCACAATAATACTGATATATATATATATATATTGACTAATCATAATAATATATACTGTATCATTAATAGTAATGCTGATACAACAACATATACCAATGTCTATTTTTTTCAGCCAGGCAGCTGCTACCCTGATCGCTTGATCTCGGTTCTGCCCAACCTCTACTACTACGCAGCACCTCGTTGGATGATGTTATGATGGCAATCTGAGCAATCATAGCAATGGTAGTAGCAACTAGAGTATCACTAGTCTAAGAATTTAGTGATGATAACTAATAATAACATACAGTTTTATTTGGCACAGTATCTAAGATTGGCCACGATCCATTTTCTACAAACCGGGGTTGTTTGTTTGGAGATCAATGCCCCGAAGTTGCCTTTGTAAAGCGTTCGGAAGACCCTAATTTTTCCCAAGACGTTGGGCGTGGTCAATGTACTAAGCCCAACTTCGGTAACTCCATGACCTTCTGGATTGTAATAGGCCACAGATTTATGTACATGATGGTGAATGAGGGCTATTTAGAAAGTTAAATAAATCCCAATTTAACCCAAATGATTTTTAGTGATGGCTAAATCCCATTTAGTGGTTGCTTGCATGCCCATTGTGCTGTTTGATGAGGCTGAAGGATGGTTATAGATGTGGAAAGTCCATGGGGACACCCCAGGAAAATCGTCTACTTCAATGGTTGATTGTCCACATCGAACTCGTAGTGGAATTCCTCTGGTAAATTAACATAACGAACTGGACAATCACATTGTTTAACGGTAAATCAACGAACTCAATGGGCCATCTTTTTCCGATCGCTATGTGGCTATGTTAGTTTACCAGAGGTTTAATAGGTACCCTCTGGTAAACTAACATAACTATGGAAAATCACTATTATTAATGGGTAAATCCACTATAAATGGCAATTTTCAATAGCTACGTTAAATTACCAGAGGGTAGATCACACGTTTCATGGCTCAAAACGTCCAGTTCTGACGGCTGAAAACCGGTGAAGCGAACCTGGGAGATACTGGGAGCCCAGGCGAACAACCCCTCAGAGGCGACCATTGCCAAGCGACGCTCCTACGTCACTTGGGTATGTTTTTATCATCCGATTGGGGATATCTCTAAATGTCTTATATATATATATATGTAATGAATATATATATATATACTATAATATTTACACATAATATTTTGTACATAATATATATATACACATATATATATATATATACATAATATATATATATATACATAATATCATTTACATGTACATACATATACTGTATCATACATATGTATATATATAGCCGTTAGATTTTGTGAAATGTTTGATCCAGATCTGGATGATATTCTGTAGTTTATGATACTGGATCCACATATCCACCTTGGATTATCCAACCTGGAAATTGGCTGGGATGATAAGTCATATACCATGGTCCCGACCATGGAACCTATGTATATATATATATATATATGTTGTTTTTTAAATATACACAGAGCAACACATATTTATATATACATATATGATACAAGATGCTCACAATCCTTCTGGGACTATATAAATGGATAACATGTTTTTGTTTTTGAAAACGATGGAAGTAGTGTGAGATTGGCTGGGAGTCACTTCCTTGAAGCGCCCAATCAGGCCTCTACCATTTCATATTTGACTCCGCCGGCCGAGAATGCGGGACTCTACAAGGCGTGCCGTTTTAAGGGCCGTAGGGATGCTAGATTTTCCATATGGAAAATGAACCAATGGATATGGACAACAACCATGGTTTCCTCACTGGAAATGATCTACTTTTGTGGGATATATCGGGGATGGTGTAGGGGATGTACCCTCTGGTAATTTAACATAGCTATTGAAAATGGCCATTTATAGTTTACATACATGTCTTTGCTGGTGACCCATAGAATCACTAGTAAAAAACGTGGTTTCACATGTTTCCCCCAAAAAATCATCAGATTTCACATGTTTTGCCAGTCAAATCCCAATGTTCCCAGCATTTTCTCATGTTTTGCCAGCAAAAACCCACGGTTTCCCATCATTTTCCCTCCAAAATCCGTGACCAAAGCGGCCGTACCGTGAGGGCCTCAAGGAGCTCAGCGACTTGGTGAAGTCCTACCAGGGATTGAGGGAGAACGAGCAGCGAGGCGCCGGCGTGAAGTGACGGTCGGTGGGTTGATGATTAGCTGGTCATTTAGTGATATTTTATGTTTAATAGAGGTATTAAATATAGTCACCATTAGCCATCCAAAAAATGTTGGAGGTATAAAATGATATAAGTAGATGTAAGTGGATAGAGTTGATGTTTTTTTGATGAATTTAATTTGGGTTTAGTAGGCACTAATTCATGTGAGGTGAATAGCAATGAACCATTGTTATTCAATGGGGGTTTATTTTGGGTTAATAACGATTGATTAACAGTGATTTAGGTTAGCCGCCATTGATTGAACATGGTTAATAACCATTGCTTGTGGTTAGGTTGACTAAGTCCGAGCAGTGAAGTGATGGTTAAGGATTTATTCAATATTCATGGAAAATTAGTGAATTCATTGTTCGGGATTGATAGCCATTGAGTAACCACCACATTTAATGGGAAATCATGGGGTTGATATGGGAATAAATTTATGCTTTGTTGTTGTTGCTGCTGCTGCTGTTGCTGTTGCTGTTGTTGTTGTTGTTGTCGTCGTCGTCGTCGTCGTCGTCGTCGTCGTTTTAACCGACCAACCATCATATGATGTTCAAAACCCCGGTTGTTTGAAAATTCATGTGGGCATTGTACTAACACATATAATATTGGAGATGGTCACAATCCATGCGCGGGGAATCCTGTTCGCAACCAACCCGTATGTTTTGTATGTGTATTGGTGTTTTGAGCAATGTTCTAGATGTTGGTGTTTTCTTCAAATCAAATGGCCGTTTAGAAAATATACCCCCATCTTCAGACACATCCGTATCTTCATACTGTATGTAAAAATTATCGAATTCATTCCCTTTGACGTCTTGACCACATGTTTATCCCGGCAACGCAACGGTCAGGTGCTTCCATCGTGAACAGCATCATCGCCACTGCGCGACAGTGCAATTTGGACAAGGAGTCATGTCATGCACCAACAAACATGTGAGCAGTGGCTGCTAAACACCTCTTGGTTGATGATATGAAATTACAGTAATTACCCCATATAAAACGGGGATTATTACAATCCAGGATCGGATTTTGACTAACAAACATACGGGTTTGTCCAAATTCAACATGTTTTTTTCCGCTTAAGATGATATGTTTTTGGGTATAGAATCATATTCAAACACACCTGATCTATCTTAGACCGCCAGGTGGAAGCACTGCAGCCCTAGTGTCAGCAAGGTGACTTTGCCAGTCTAGTGGGTGATAGGAAACACGTATCCTTGACTGTAATTTTTGGGTACCCCAGATGTTATTGAGATTTTTTAGACGCCAAACTGAAGGGTTGGAAACATGTTTTATGTCCCGACCTAGGATGATGATCCCATTTGATTAACGACTTGAAACTAGGGGATTCCAAAATCCAATCGGATAAATGGTACCTGAAACATTGGGGATACACCCCATTTTCAGACCCAGATCTAACCAAGAAAAGTTAGCAGTTCGTTGAGCCCCAAAGCCTTCACTTTGCCCATCGTCCCAGGACATTGATGATCTGCCTAGTGAGGAGGCAATTTCAAGGGTGGGCTCAGGATGGCTCAGGTCCAACCCTTCAGGTTACCCCTCAACAGTTTTTTGGTTAAAGGTTGAAGGGTTGTTGTTGAATGTGGGGTGGGATTTCCTGACCTACGAGCCTAGATGACTAGAAAGAGGAGTTTAATTGATATGACATGATGAAAGATAGAAACAACAAGCAGAAAAACAAACTGACCTATCCCCATTCCCAACTCCATTGTACCGGGATTTCATTATACCAATGATGCTTGGATTCCCATCGGATGCCAGGACGATATGGCAAAGGTGACCATGGAAGAGCGTGATGATGTCACTGGGCGATCTGGCTTTTTTTGCCGCTCTCAGCCGACGACAGTAACAGTAACTAACTAGTATTTCAATGTATTTCATGGAATGACAGAGGGTTTTCAATATTCTTCTTTTGAAGAAGTCCAACATGTTTGACGGGAACTGTGCTGGAAGATATGTTTTGTCATTCAATGTTGGAAAAATCAGTGAATACGCCTATGAATGTGAAAACGCCTATGAATCAAGCACAAAAACACGTTAAAAGTCGACTTGTGCCCCCCAAATCTCCAAATGTTCTGGGCCCAGCCTCGCAGTACATCCAAATATATCTTCACAATCACCAACAATTTTGCTGTTAAAATCATTGCCATTAACTATGGCATTATGGCTCTGTGTTTTTTCCGGCCACCAACAGTTTCCTTTCGGAGCGACCAACAGTTTCCCCAGGTGGTGGGGAAGGTCTACCGCCTGCTGATGGAGATCGAGTCGCGGGCGTTGCCCATGGGTCTGCACCAGGTGGGTGTTCCGCCCAGTGCCGAGGAGAGCATCGCCACCTTGGTCAACATCGCCCAGTTGGATCGCCCCGATGCTTGGCTGGGGATGGCTGGGGATGGTGGGGATGGTGGGGATAAGTGGAGGATCCCCCAGGGGGGTGGCAGGATAGGGAAAGGTTAGAGAGTGTTTTTTTTTTTCCACCACCATGCAATTTCAAGGGTCCCACTTCTATTAAATTCGTTAATATTAAACTGTGAACTTCACTGTCCAGTGTCAGTTGCTGATAAGATAAGCGCAGCGCAGCCATATTCCTTGGTTGAGTAGCCAATTGTTACCTGGGCTGGGGATGCTTAAAATCAATTTTGTTGCAGCCCGCGTTGGTGCAAAAATGGGGTGGGGGTCATTTGCAGGTGATTGAAGTTGCTAGTGGCTTGTTTGATGATATGTATATGTATATATGGCGAACTTATGGTGATACATATGCATGCCGTGATGATTATTGTAATTTGTGATCATGAAATCACCATCAAACAGCAAGGAGTTGGGGGGTGTCCAAGAATTGCTGTACGGCTATACGTTACAATCCGACACAATGCAGGTTTTGACCAACAGCCATCAACAGGAATACTGTGACATGTTTTTTCAAAAAAGGATTGTGGGCATACCATTGTACCAGAATTCCTTTGGCAGCTGGAATTGTCATGACCGATATGTATTGGCCTCTATGTAGCACTGTCGGCTGTCAACACTGCTTTCAGCTAGATACGAGACGTAGTTGTTTGAATGTCTACCCTCTGGTAAACTAACATAGCTATGGAAAATCACCATTTTTAATGGGAAAATCCACTATAAATGGTCATTTTCAATAGCTATGTTAAATTACCAGAGGGTACCCACTGGAATCGAAGGGCAGCTGAATGTCGTTGGTGCTTCCAAACAAATCGGATCAGAGGGAGAATCAGCCGGAGATACCCAAAGCCATTGGGGTTCCCCCACTCTTTGGATATGACTAACATGGCATTTTTTCAAAAAGCCAGCTTCAGATGGTGAGATCCCAAACTGTTCTATTTCTATCACATGTTGTTCTTACCATTTCTCAGTATACTCCCGTGAGACTATGACTGCCAATTTGCGTTGAGTGGCTCGGCGCCATTTCCAAGTGAAGAATCTGATGGTATATCATCTGGGGTGGGTTAAATACCAATTATTACCATGTTTGTGGGGCCGTGAACATCATTGAACTTCCATTTTTTGTATGATAGATCTAGCGATATAATGATGTTCACGGAAGTTCACAGGGCTACCAGGGTACCCTTTGGTAATCAAATTACCAAAGGTGGCAATGGGGGATCCCCAGCCAGCTGTTTTTGATCACGCAATAGTTGGTTAGTAATAATTAGTATGTATCCCATTAAATTCCATTACAGTAAATTCCATTGATATCCCATTAATATCCCTTTAAATTCCATGTGTATCCCATTGATATCCCATGAATATACCATGTCATATCCCATGAATATACCATGTCATATCCCGTTAAATGTCGTAAAAAATCCCTGTTTTCATGGTTCAATGTCCGTGAAATCTCCTTTCATCATCCGGATGACTGAGGACATGAGCATCAAGAGCCTTCCCCGCATCATTGCGGAGTCCAGGGGCAAGGACATCGAGGCGCTCCCGGACTGATGAGAAAACCATGGTTGAAACTGCAAAAACTGGACAAAAACTGGACTTCACCAGCATGAAAGTGGGATTCGAGTGGCCAGAAATTGAAGTTGTTAAGCTCAAACTTCGGGATGGGATCCCAAAAGATAACCATTGTATTTTGGGGTACCCTCTCAGACAAACTCGCTTGTGTAAAGCCAAAGAGACATCATAGACTTGATGATCGAGCTCGAGCCAGGTGAATTAGCCAGCAAGAATATTTAGAGAGTTACTGTACCTGTACCTCTTAACAGCATAGATGAGCATCTATATAAACCCAAACAGGTAAGGACTAAAACACTTAGTTTTCAGATGTTGAACACAACAAAGGAAAATATAGCTGTCCCATGTTGTTTCCAGAAGGTTATGATATGTTCCCATATTTTCCCGTTTAATGTCCATGTATTCTAGGTGGTTGCTATGCCACTTGTGGGGGTCTCCTCTCGGATAGACATTCTCTAGCCAGGCTGTCTACAAGGGCAACAACGATGGCAACCTTGAGGATCTGCCAGCCTGGTGGGCCCTGGAAAAAGGGGTCGTTGAATCGAAACCCGGAAGCAACATGGGTATAGGTGAATCTTGGAGGCCATGGAAATTATGAATTGACTGTTTTGTTTTTGTTTCTAGCCATGCATCAACTATTGAGATACCAACAATGCATCAAAATGCATCATGAAACAATAATCGCTTCATGGATTGGTGTCAATTGATAGCACTTATGAATATATATGCTTTACTGAAACCCATTAAACGCCAATCAAAAAAAATCATTAAACACATTTAAACACCAAACATGTGCCATATGTGCCATGGTCAAAAGTTGGAGTGATGATGTGGCAGAAGATAGTGCGAGGCAGCGTTTCGCAAATTACATGAGACCGCAGAGGAGGAATGCTAGGGGTGATTTTGAAAAAAGGAGGTTGCCTTGTACCTTGGCACTTGAAAATTTTGTGACGCCTTGCAATTCCTCATCCTTCCTGTTCTGTTTTATTTCCCACTCCCCTTTGGATTAAATCTTGCGACATTACAATTATGTGCATGATGCATGTTCTTATGGTATACCATCTCTTGGGGCGCTCCGATTGTTGGCCCCGGTCTTCTCTTGACCTTCACGATATTCATTCACCATAGTTTCAAATGCACTGACCCCAGCACCAGAGTCCGGGCCTGTGTCATTATGGACCTCTGAGTTCATGCGAGAGTCGAGTCAAAAGTTGGACTGTATATACATATTGAGAGATGGTCATCAATCCCTTCATAGAGATTTTTATATATCCATTATACATTATATGTTTCCGATGTAACTTGAACATGGCACACATAAAGTTGGTTATGTATCCCAATATATCCCATTATATCACCCATAAAATGGTGGGTTAAAGTTTGGTTTAATCTCCATGTTCTACTGTTGTATTGTTGCTATTTTGCCATTATAGTAACTATAACTATACATTACTATAACTATAATACTATTGGGACATTATATACTGCTGTTATTATATTACTATTATAATTGCCACATTAAATCATGTAGTCATGCTGCTGTTACTACTGTATACTACTATAGAGTTATACATTGTAGTTACTATATAGTATAGTTTTTGTATACTATTGTTACGGGAAAACCCCTCCTCGTGCCTGCACCGACGTCCACCACGTGTCCTAACATCAAAAAACACTGTGTTTTGTGGGATAAAATGCACATGTCCATGATCATAGCTTTCATCTTGCATCGCACAGCTTAGCAACCTGTGCGTTAGATGTTACTACATCATCATCATCATCATCATCATCATCATCATCATCATCATCACACAGGTTGTTTTTTGGGCTTGGAATCGGGTTTCGTGGTCTTGGTGTTTGCGGTTTTTAGGGTTTATTGATTTTGAGGTCTGGTGCTTTTAGGGGTTGGTTACTTAGGGTGTGATGGATTTAGTTTTAGGGTTTGTTGATTTAGGGTTTGATTTTTTTTTTGTTTGGTGGCTTTAGGGATTAGTCATTTTAGGGTTTGGTGGTTATAGGGGTTGGTAACTTTAGGGTTTGGCGATGTTAGGGTTTAGGTATAGGTACCTCATTCCCTCTTTGCGCGGCAGCAATTCCGCAGCCGGAAACAGCGCTAGCTAGCAGGTTTAAGAGAATCAAGGACCTTTATGGAACGCCGTGGAAGTTCAGTGTGATCTGTGGAAACAACAGAATCCTATCGAAGCTTGGCGAAACCCAGCGACAGCCATGGAAATTCATGCCCGCGTGTGGATGCCTGCGCACATCTGCAGATGTATATATGGATATATATATATATATATTATATGGGGGATCCATGGAAACTTTTGCTTCAAAAAGGCGCTGGAGGCAATAGAACAGGTATCCCAGTGGAGTTAAGGCATAGGGCGCGGACAGAGAAAAACATATCTGTTTAAACCAGGGCGACAGCCTGTGTTGAAAAGGACCCTAAAACCCTAAACCCTAAGCTCCTTGAAAAATCCCTCGAATAAAAAATGCAACCTGGGCGGGGATTTGAAGATTTCCTAAAACTCTAAACATTTTTAAGATTCCCGTGATTATAAACGTTAACGGGGGTGGGGATTTGATGATTCACTAGAAAGTCTTTTGAATCATCTTTAAGATCCCTTGAATCAATATCCTTTGAATCCCTAAAAAGTTGTGTGTGTGTGTGTGGGCCAAGGGGGGATTTGCGTGTATTGTTATTAATCATTATTATTATATGACTATCGGTAACACGTCTATAGTAATCATGTGTAATGATTATATAGTTAAACTTACAATATTTATTATTATAAGTAATTGCTTATTATATTATTAATACACGTAGTTTCAATTGATTACACATATTACTAATCATTATTCGTTACAATATTTACTAATAATTAATATTGTTATCAATCATTTATGATTATATGACAACTTATATTGTTAGTATCTTACCAATAACATTATATAACATTATATAACATAATTATAGTAATTATACTAAACATGTTAAATCATTATAGAAATTATTTATACTAAACATGTTGAATCTTATTACAGTAAATATACTTTTTTTTACTAATAACTAAGTACCATGTTACCCTCTGGTAATTTAACATAGCTATGGAAAATCACCATTTTCAATGGGAAAACTCTCTATAAATGGTCATTTTCAATAGCTATCTTAGTTTACCAGAGGGTAAGTACCATGTTAATTTGCCCATGTTTTTTGTTTTTTTGTTCCCAAAGGTTCCCTGACTCGCCAGGACGTGGCCCTGGTGCAGGACATCACCCTGGCCTCGCGCGCGGCCGTGGGCGCGTTGGTGCAGCAGTCCACCAACGCGGTGGGGCCCGGATGGGGCGCGGGTGGGACGGGATCCCTCAAAAACTGGGGAAATCCTGGAAAAATGATGGGAAATCCTAGGAAAATGATGGGAAATCCTGGGAAATTCTTTAAAAAAATGGTAGATTTAGGATGATCATGGGATAATCATGGGATGATGGGAGGAATTATGATGGGATTTGCTGGAATGTCATGGAATATACCCTCTGGTAAACTAACATAGCTATGGAAAATCACCATCTTTAATAGGTAAATCAACTACACATGGGCCATTTTCAATAACTATGTTGAATTACTAGAGGGTAGGGTAGGATGATTGACTGGAATCCACCAAAATGTGACAGATGAAAACGACTGGAATCAACGAAATTGGGGGATTTAGTCTAACATAGTTAACATTGATGTGACCATCAGCATCTTTATAGATCTTTATAGGTAATAGCCTTAGCTGCTGTAATTCATTCATGAATCATAAATGGGGCCATTTTCCACATCTATGTAAATGTTTAACCTAGGGTAGTATGATTTAGCATGACTGGAATCGACCAATGTTGGTAACGGTTACTTGGTGAAACCATATGATGTTTGAAAAGATGTAATGAAACAAAATGTGGTTTAAACCCTCAATCAATGGGGATTAAAGAAACCCAAAATGTGGATTGTATCTGTTTAATCAGCAATGATTCATGGTCAAAGGAACAGAAATGGAGGAGTGTCGCAAGAAAAGATGTGGCTGCCACATAAAAGTCTGGATTTTTTGTGACAAAGGTCAAGGGGTTCACAACAAACATGTAGGTTTGACCCTATTCATACTGAACATATACTGTAGAGGACTAACACCCGAAAGTGCAGTTGAGCAAAACTTAGTTGTTTTTATTTTTGGGTCCAAACTGAACATCTCGAAGAGACAGGCAAGATAGTTTACCCTCCTGCGGTGAAGTGTACCTTCCAGTGGGAGCAAACTTGGCTGTTTCTCTCGTCGAAATCTTCTATACCAATCTGTATTCAAATGGATATGGGTCAAAATGGAAGACCTAGGGGACCACAGGTGTTAGTCTAGTTGAGTATTAACCATCCAATTATTGGGGTACCTAATTTTGACCCATACCCAAATGATGATGGAGAGATTGTGTGGTAGAAGTTCAGAACACTATTCAGGAAACTATAGTAAATCACATGTGTATGTGTCGGTGATTTTTTTTGCAAGTCCAAATCCACCCTATGTTTAGCTTGTTAAAGTTCCCATGTATCCTCGCGGCCATGGAGTTAGTTCTATGAACTAGTCCACTAACTCCCTGGCCGGTCTAAGGTATCCCTAAGAACCAGAGGCCCCCCGTGATGTTTGTTGGTTTATATAAGCCCATTCACTTGCCATTAACGATAGTTGCATCCACTTACGTTTGCTGGTTTATAAGCCCATCAACTTATATGAATAGTTACATCCATTTACATCCCCAAAACTATAGTTATATATATATACATCCACTTATGATAATATTATGTTTGTTGGTTTATGTTGCTTTATAAACCCATTAACATCCATATATATATATATACATCCATATACATATATATATATAGTTCCATCCCCCATCATCCGGAACGGCGGCGTTTAAAACGAACCGTTTGAAGCCCGACGGTCACTGTCCTTCGGACGAAACAGGACGGCCGCGTGGAGGCGGTGAATCCGATGCAGGGCATGTTCGACTTCTTCTCCGGAGGATCTGTCTACAAAAAGGCCCATCCAATGGGCGTCAATGTTAGCTAAGTTGGTGGGTTTATAACTCCAATAACTATGGTTTATGGTAGATATAACTATAGTATTCATGGGCTTTATAAACCAATGGGCAGAGTCAATGGATTGGTTTTAGGGGAAAATTTTAACCGGAAAGCCCCATATTGAATGGGAAAATCGATGGTTTCCGGTAGATTTTCCCTTAAACCAATCCATTGACAGAGCCGGTGGGTGTTCATGACGGCCAGATTTCATGACGGCAATTTTTGAGGCAAAGATTCGTTGGGGGGAAAAAAACTGGCAATGGGGATAGCTAGATGACTTCATCAAGCTGAATGTGGATATGATAAAACCAGCGAAAATATTGATGTTACCATCAACAATTGGGATCTAGCACGCGTATTAATGATTAACGGAAGAGGTTGTGGCTATCATCCAAGTCATTTGTCATCTTCATGCAAAAAACAAGGATGAAATTGGGTGATTATATGATTAATCACCTCCAACGATTTCAGGGAATCTCCAATGTTGCACATGTTTGTTGCTTACATCAAATGAAACACTGAACTCTTCTTGGTTAAGTCCCCATGTCTGGCTATATTTCAGCGGATAATATGTTCTTCATCTACATTTAGTTGCTGAACACCAATGTGACTTTGTTGATGAAGTCCACATGTTTCGCGAGGGGTTGGTAAATGTCCCGTTGTGTGGATTTTGAACATCTCTTTCAAGTATCGGTTGGATATTAAAAGAAACCTCCAATAGTTGGGTGATGTTCTTAAATATGACTTTTTACCCTGGGGTAAACTACGAGTTCTATGTGGAAAATCCACATCATTTGAATTTGTAGATTTTGTAGATGGTTTGCTGAAGGAATAAGGGTTTTCCACATCTCATCATTTTCCTAGGTTTTCCCATCATTTTCCTAGGGTTTCCCATGATTTTCCTAGGGTTTCCCATCATTTTCCGAGGATTTCCTCAAGGTTTTCCTGGAAAACCCCTGCACTCCGATCAGGCCTTGGCGGAGTGCGGTTTCGACTGCTCGGATGATGACCTGAAGCCCCTCTTTGAGCTTCTCAGCGCGAAAACCCATCGGAAAATGCTGATTTCATGCGATTTCATGGGATTTTATAGAGATTCAATGGTGGCTTAATGGGATTTGATGCTGATTTCATGTGAGTTTAATGGTTTGGAACCTTTTTTGTTTTTCCATAATATTTTGGAATAGTAATCCCAACTGACTAATGGGTTTAATGGGTTTAATGGATTTAATGGTGATTTCATGGTGATTTAATGGGATATATAACCTAGTTGATCTACTTGGGGGTGGAGTTGAGGCGGATAATGGCTATAACCATGGGACTTAAACCCCCACAAGTTGGGATATAACCCCTTCAACATGTGAGGAATCTATACAACTACAACTGGAACTGTACCCCAAGTAGATCATGATTTTTTGATGGTTAAATTCGGTGGGAGACCATTGGAGACCAAGATGTTTGGTTAGACATTCATGGAGAAGAACTTCTGGCGATCTATCATTCCCAGACTTGGCTGTTTTCAACCAGCTGGTGATTTGGGTTGGTGCTTTGCAATCCCAGGAATTCCTAAGGAATAGTATGGCAGCTTATTAAGGGCTTACTAAATCCTAAAGGCTCTTGGGGTGTTTTGCAATCCCAAACGGGCCCCAAATTACCGGTTACTGGTTGGTTGATAGGGACATAGTAGATGTTAATGTAGTTGCACTAATATTCACTATCATTATACAATACATTTGTATGAATTATTCTTATCCATTATTATCATACTTTGTAATAATTATTGCAATTATGAATCCACTATGAATTATGAGTATCCATTATTGTCCATTATTCCTACCAGCTGGTAAACCGAGCCATGGCAAATTCCACCCTTAAAATCGCTGGAGGAGTTGCCAGCGTTTGCCTTGTTCGATTACCAGAGGGTATCGATCATGATCACTATTTATCAATTGTTAATATACCCCCTTAGTATACCCTCTTAGTATAGTATAGGATAGTATCACCCGTGATATTTATCAATAGGATTGTCCATTGTTAGTATTATCAACTCATAGTTCCTGTCCATTATCACTATAAAAGAGTACTCACTATAGTCACTATAGTATTGTTTTACATTAGTTATTGTCATGGTATTCAGTGTATTCAGATAATTTATGAACCATGAATACTATGATATTGACCTGATCATCAAACATATTAGTCACATTAGTCAACTAAAAGCATCCACTACTACTGCAGTAAACGTAGCGTATTTAATCATTAGCCAATACTATGATACTCAACAGATATATATATATATAATTATATATATAAACATATAGATTAAGTCAACTTCAGGTTCAATAATAACTCAGCCATTCATTTTCTTTGTCGTTTTTGGATCCATTCAACAGCTGATTCAGCTGAGGTACCTGCAGGTTTGCCTCGGTGAGGTGGTGCGCAACAACGAAGTGCCCACCCTGATCAATGCTTTGGATGGGAAGTTCATTGAACCAGGTGGGCGTGGTGGGCGTCCGACGTTGGAAGGGACAGATTGGAAAGATGTGGAGGGTGATGATCCAATTAATGATGTTATTTAAGTGATATATGATATATAATAATATCACAATCAGAGTTTAGTTGGAAACTTCGATATGATGATTGTGATTATTTATATAAGTCTGATGATTCTGTGCAATGTGAAGAACTATAAATGCAATACTTAGATTGACATCAGAAACAGGTTCAGGATTGTTTGTGTTGTTCATTTATTTCTATGTTTTAATGTTTTAATATATGTATGATATTGTGTTGTTGTCACTGTCATAATTGTTACTGCTATGGCGGCTATGGTATTTTTCTTCTCCACGTGTTTTTAGAGTCTAGGGCTGCAAGGAACGATGCTACCCGCTACCCCAGGCACGGCATGGCATGGCCATCATGGCTCATCATGGCTTTAAAGATCGTTTAATAATTACCCTTTGGTTATTTAACATAGCCATGGTATAGATGGCCCATTTATAGATGGTTTACCTATTAAAGATGGTGATTTTCCATGGCTATGTTAAATAACCAGATGGTAAATGTTTAATTTAGCCATGATGGTTGATATCTAGTGACTGCAGCTACTCCATGAACGACCATGACTAGCTATGTGTTTCTATGTGTTTCTGTTCGCCCAAACATGCAATGTCAAACCAAAGATGCATCTTCATTTATGAATTGCTTGGATCATGCTTTGGACCATTGGTACCACAAATTTGCCAATTGCTTATCGGAGTTGATAATAAAGACAATATATATATATGTATATAATTATATATGTATACATATATAATTATATAGAGTGAGAGAGAGACTGTCAGATATTGAGATTCTCATAAATATTTCTTTACATGCATATAGATTTGTTTTTACCTATGAACAACTTGGACTATATATAGTATCTATATATATACATATATACATGCCACTACAAAATATACTATATATATATATATATAGATTTAGATATTGCATTATATTGCTCTATCTCTATATCTATATTATTTCTGTATGTATATATATATATATAATTATATATATAATTATATTATACATATTATTACTATATATTAATACTATTTCTCTCTCTCTCTCTATCTATCTATCTATATATGTCATGGCATCTCAGGTCCTGGCGGCGACCCCATCCGCAACCCCGATGTGCCATGGCAAATTCATCGGAAAAGTCATGGAAAATCACGAAAAAACAGCATGGTTAATGGACAATCACCATGTTGAATGGAGAGGAAAATCACCATGGTTAATGGAACATCGACATTTTTGGTAGCTATAGTAGGTAAGTTATCCATAAATGCACCACTTGTACCATAGCTATGTCTATGTGCAATTACCGGAGTGTGGGGGTTAAAGCCCTGGTTTCCTGTAGATCAATCCGTTGATCGCTTCCTGTGCTTCTGCAACGTGTCATGGATGACTTCGGAGAGAGCACTAGCACAACAGAAAATCATTGGAAAAAAAAAACATATTGGAGATGATTGGAACATACTCGAATGATGATGGTGATCATTGGTTCAGGAAACAAAAAAGGCCATGGCAAGATCATCAAGGGACCAACGGATCCCCCCGAGGTGCTTCCAACGGGCAAAAACATGCACGCCCTCGACCCCAACTCCATCCCTACGAAGGCACCGCTGAGGGGCAACGGTTTGAGAAGGTTGCGGATCATGGGGCTTCAATGGAGATTGGGAGCTAAGTACTATCGATGAGTGGGATATTACAATAGTACTATAAATGAATTATCTAAGCATCCTTTAACTAGCATAGACCCTGGCAAATTAAAGGGTTGGAAGACTAGTTCCATCTAAAAGTCAGCTATTCGTATAGTCTATGTTGATTGGGGGGGATCCATCAAATCCCTGTTTCACATCACATCAAGTCCTATCACATCACCATTACCCTCTGGTAATTTAACATAGCTATTGAAAATGACCATAAAATGACCATATATAATTGATTTTCCCATTAAAAATGGCCATTGTCAATAGCTATGTTAAATTACCAGAGGGTAAATCCAAGATTTTGAACAAAGCACATAGCTGAAACAGCCGGACGCCGCAAAAACAAGGCCGCCTGTGATGTGGCCCTGGTGGTGGTCGAACGGCTCTTGGAATCCCTGAAACAGCAGCAGGTGCCGACCTGGTCCATGGTCCACCATAGTCCATCATGGTCCACCGGGACGCTTGGGATATCTTGGGATGGGGCCCGGGGATGATAAGGATGACAATCAGAATCATGATATATCATGATAGCTATATTAATTGTTATTACTATGTTTATTCGGATGAGGATGATGCTGATCGTGATCATGAGTTTGAGTGTGGATTATTGCTAGCATTATTACTATGATTTTTATGTTTGGTTGTATATCATTGCTTTATTCTGATTGTTATGGGCTATGGGTGTTATTCTAGAACCCCTCATAAAGATCGAAAAGCCCTGCAAATCGTAATTAGTGGTAAACCGCTGTTCTATCTTTGTGCGAGCTGCTGTATCCAAGAACAATATGTTTGTTGTCCCCATTGTATCCCAATTGTAATCCAATCCCATTTTATCCCCACTAATATTGCCATTATATCATATTATATCCGGATTATGTAATCGCTATTATATCCATATTAAATCCCATGACATCTGTCTATACATATATAATATCCCTATTATATCCATTAAATCCTAATATTACGGTAATATGACCATCATATCCCTATTATATCCATATAAATCACCATTAAATCACCATTAAAGTGCCCTAAATGTCGAAGTTTCCCAAAAACCAGGGCGAGATGCCGGAATCGATCGCCTTCACTCTGTGGGGCACGGCTGCTTGGTACCATCAAAACATGGTGATTTCATGGGAGATCTCAACGGGGTGAATGGTGGTGAGGGCCATAGGGATTTAACATGATGTAACTTAAGCATATTTGACGTGGCCATGGTACAGATGGCCCAGTGAAATAGATGGTTTACCTGGGTTGACCTATTACAAATGGTGATTTTCGATGGCGAACTGTTAGTCATAACCAGATGGTAACTTAAGCATCAACAACTAGGGACTTATTTTGCGAATTCAGATGGCAAATTGAATGGTTTTTGATATGGGATTTCACCAATAGATATGGGGATTGATTGGATTTTAGTGGAATATGATGGGGTATAATGGGATATAACTCACCAACGATTGGGGAATCAAACATGGCAAGTTGGGAAATCTCATATATATATATAGGGGTTTATAGCTTGAAAGGATATATATTTAAGAATCATACTTGTTTTATGTGATATGGAATGGCACTATCATTTCTTAAAGAACTGTTTTGATATTCATGCCAATTTGTAGATTGGCACAATATTCAAAAATTGGAATTGGATTGTGTTTCTTTTCTACATATAGATGGTATGTCAAAATCAGATAAACGGAACCTTTTTCATATCCCACTCCAGGTTTTCAGAGAGAGAGACTTGTCAGGATGGTACCGGCATCCAATGCGCTGAATTCAGCACAATGAATGGCTATATAGACAATATGACTAGATATACATCAGAGACATGATGGATGGAAGGATCTACGAGTCTTACTATTCACAATTATTTAGTCTAGATATAGTGGATGATGGATGTTGAAAGGAGCATTTTCTAGTGAAAGTGTCATCAACAGTGGCTCTGTTTTGGAAATGTCTATGGGGCCCCCAGGTTTCACCCCAAAAAAAAACGAAAAGTCACAGGACAACATCAAGACCTATGGTGAGAGCCTGGCCCAGGCGGGACAGTTTTTTCGGGGGTTGGTGCGGTTAGAAGATCTGTAAGAATCAAGAGAGTTGGTACCCTTTCATGGAACAATGGATTTTGTGTGGGGGATATTGATGATTGATGAGTACCGGGCCACCGGGATATCAGATTACCATACATGACAAATCGAATATGAACATGGGCAACAAAAAAGGATTTTTGTATACCAACAGTTTTCAAAATTGGGTACCAAAACACGAGCAAACAATTCCATGGGTTCCTTCTTGTCACTGTGACCGACTGCCATGGTCGCCAGGCTTTTGCGTGTTTCGTTGTGGGTGATGGGTTATTTGATGAGGTCCATCCAAAACTCATGGTTTGCTTATATAAGGTGATTTGGCTGATTTTCCCACTGGAACATCAATCATTTGGGCGATTTTTTTGGGTGTTTTTTTTTGTGAATATTTTTGAGGACCCCTTGAGCAAATCAAAGAAACTAGTGGTTGCAAATGGATCCAGCAGGAAGATCTGTGGCTCAGAGCACGGCACCATAGATCGATTCATGGATCGAAGCAAGTTGTCTTCATCTCAAGAATCTGTTTGAGAGAAATGGTTGCAGCAATGCCACCATACATGAGTATATAACCTATACAAATGCATGACTATAGTGTATAAATATTTTCAATATATGTCAAACTATATATACACACGTTTGGATAACAAATGCAAATAGAACAATTTGATTCATTGCTGACCCAGCGGTATGCGGTTTGAGACGAATTTCCCTTTGGCCAAATTTGAGAGAAACAGTTTCATTTCGGAACTGCCATGTGCAGTCTTGATGCCCCCCTATGCCCCCGGAAGTTTGACTATTGTTGAACATGCATCCACATTCTTCGAAACTGACCCTACAACTGATTAAGTGGCCACTGGCCGAATCAATTGGCCCACTGCTTGGTTTTAGGGCAGAACACTGCAGATGAATACATGGACCCTGACCATCCCTGACCCAAAACTGTCGTTTCTCCCTGACCGCGCGGTGTGTCCGGTGTGTCCGGTGGAAAAGTTGCCGCGTCGCCGCATTAAACGCCATGGAGCCAGCGAAAAGAAACCTGATGGATTTGCGTCGCCTGGCTCTGGCGGTTGATATGGGTGTTTATATAGTTCCCCCATGGGAATACAAAAGGATAATGTGCTAAAACCAATAATACACCATCCCTACTATCACCATAAAAAGTTCAAGATCATTTCACCACTGATGGATGATCTTCAATGATCTTCAATGATTGTTGTTAGAGACTGTGCACCAGGATCATTAACTCATTGATAAGAAACCTTGTTTTTTGTTTCTAAATCAAGCAGGTCATCATCCGAAAGTGATGAGATTTCTGTTTCAGTGTCTAAAAGAGGAAACCACCTCAATGAAACAGCCCAGTTTTGTTTTGTTTCCTAGCTCAACATCTAATATCGATTCATTCATAGCATTTTTTTTGGTCTGGATCCTGAAATCTGTGGTATGTCCCTTTGACTTAGTTAGACCTCCATGTATCCCCTAAATTGAACATACCCTCTGGTAAACTAACATAACTATGGACAAATCACCATTGAAATAGTGGATTTGTTCCCTTGAACAATGGTGATTTTCTATAGCTAATGTTAAATTACCAGAGGGTATTGAACATATTGAACATATGAAAGCCGTGGAATGCCCAAAGAAATCGGTGTGGATTTGATGATTTTCCCTAGTGATCATGGCACATCCCCCCGTCATCAGCATGTTTATAGGTGGTATGATTCCCATTCCCAGGAAAATGGGTGGTAGAAAAATCATTGGTTTACCCACATTATTCCAATGATTAACCATTATTAACCATTATTAACCATTATTAACCATTATTAACCATTATTTGCCATTATTTACCATTATTTGCCATTATTTACCATAGATTGACTAGATTAACCATAGATTAACCATGTTTTCAACTGGAGCGCCAGGCGGAACCTTCGATGAGGTGGTGAAGTTTGCAGACACCTACACCTTGGAGGTTGCGTATCTTAATGGCCGGAAACATATTAGCCATGCATACCATACCCACGACATCCCGAAACACATTCCGTGGATCAATTTTATGGAAAAAAACATTCAGTTGATGGTGAATCACCAGGAATGTTTCCTACATGTTTCCTATGAAACAGCTATTTTTTTTGGAGGTGGGGGTATCCACTAATTAATATCATAGAATTGGATGATGGGAACATTTTAACCGGAAAGCCCGATCAATTTGATGGTAAAAACCCATGGGTTTCCGGTTAAGATTTTCCCAACAAAACCAATCCAGTGATATGGGGGCATGGTGGTTTCATGAATAGAATTAACCATCATTAGCCATCATTAGCCATCATTAACCATCATTAACCATCATTATAACAACTGGTCTGATAATCTGCACCATGTTTTGGACACATCCCATGACTTCCAAGGTGCTGAGCCCCTGTTGCAGAGTGGCACAAAGCGCTGCTGCGAGCCGTGGCTTGTCCCATCAGCTGAGATTACCAGAAATGATGGAGGGTTGCCCGATAGATAAAGAAATTAAATCATATAATATATATATATATACGTATATGATATATACGTTATATATATATATATATGTTATATATATAAATACACATGTTATATATATATATATGTATACACGTTATATATATATACATACATACACATGTATCCGCTTTAAAAGTCTTAAAAGCACAACCTTAAAATGACAAACAAAAGAAAAACATGGATGCTTACCGTCCAAATTGCTCACTGTTCAGGATGCAAATCCATCAGTTAAATCAGTGTAATGAATAGCTACAATTACCTTCCCCAATAACTAACATGGACCCTGCGAAGCAGGTCGTTGGAAGACTCGTTTCCACTAAACAGTTGACTTTTTTCAGGGTCAAACTATGTCGTACTGTTAATTGCTGGAGGGTAATCCACTTTAATCCACTAGTGTTGGAAAAGAACACTATTTTCAAATATTTTCAATAGGTCAGTCATCTACAGATGGACCATCTATACCACAGCTATGTTAGTTTAACAGAGAGTAAATGCCGTTAATATATCCATTTTTGTTGGTTCAATCCCTATATCAATCACCATAGAATCCCATGAATTCCCATTCATATCCCATTAAATCCCATTACTCATGGCAATTCCTACGGTTTCTCCTGGGCACAGTGTATTCCTATCGTTTCAGGCCGGAGGACCTGGGAGCAGCCGTTGGAGGGCTGGAGCAAGGATGGCCAGCGGTGTCTGCGGGAGACGCACCTTGGTGGTCTGTCACTGTCCCATCATCCCATAAGATTTACAGCTACCAGGACGATCCCATAACAATTCTCCCCACAAGAAAGGTACCAACATGGCTATGGATCAATACCTATACATACCATTTTTAGGGGGATGAACATCCATAAATCCCAGCTGTTTTGACGTGAACTACAGGGGTACCAGGGTTTTGACACACTGCCATATCATGACAGAGAAATCCCCGAACATTGTTCAACATGTTTTCATTTTTTGGAGTTTCAAGGATTTTCCCGTAATTTGCAAGGAAACATATACCTCCTCTACCTCTATGTTACATGTGGAAATGATCAAACAAGTGTAGAATGTATGTGGAATACCTTGCAATTCGGGGTCCTACAAACTTTTAGTTTACATGTTTGATTTTCTGCAATTCTGTAGCTATTTGCAGACCTTTAGACTATCATTTTACGTTTTGTTTTACCTACTTACATATTTTTCTTTTCGAACATGTAGTTTACATTTCAGACATCCCCTTAGGTTTTTAAAAAAAGCCAGGGGACCTTGTCAAAATGCAGATTGCAATTAGAACGTGTTTTGAAAAATAAATGTATGCTAACATTTTTTCCATCCCCCTCCTAGAAAGTATGTCTAAAATGTAGCTTATATCTAAGGGTACATTCCCCTCTCTTAAAAGGGTCGTGATTTTACAACTAGATTTACAAATCGACTAGTTGGTATTGTTTCATAGGAATCCCGGATCGCCAACTGGTGCTTAGGATTTCGCAACCATTCACATATGAATCCATATGACTACCATATTTTGGGGAAGAAACATCCATATATACCAGTGATTTTAGGGTACCTGGGGTGGGTTTTGATTCATAGCCATATTAGTTGTTTTTCAATGATTTTGAACCGAAAAAAAAATGGGAGTTGCAGGATGTTGCCAAGAAGAATGTGGATTTTGCTTGGCAAGACCTGCATGGATTTAGCATGGTTTAACAAATAAGACTCATGATGAATGGATTTAAGAGCTACAATTTAGGGATATACTTGGAATTACTTGGATATAATGATATCAGCACTGGTTGATGCAAAAAAAATGCAAGGATAAGGAGAATTGATGAACCAACGCAAATGGTGCGTGTGACAACCAACTATAAAAGGACAAACACATAATTATACAATATAGGTATATGAAGCCTAAGCTCACATCGATTGGTGGTCATGGAGACCATTTGTAATCTGTTTAGCACCTTCAACATATAAAGATGTTAAAAAGCTGGAAACCGGAACATGAGATGAATTTATGTTTTCTTTGCATATACACAACTATCATCTGTGACAGCCTAGGAAAACAAAAAAAAACACGTCCTCATTCCGGGAGATTACAACAAGACCCGTTGTATCCGAAACGAATGATATATCATATATCAACCGAAAGTGGGGAGAAACGTCATCATCATCACGGAGTCCACTACCCTCTGATGATGTTTCCATGACCCTCTGGTAGTCAAACGTGGCAACGGAAAAAAAAAAACAAACAAAACATAAATGATCATAAAGAAAACGTTTCACTGGGAACATCATCAAGCAAAATGGGGATTTTTTTCCACCGCCACCGTCGATGACACCGGAGGGTAAACTTGCTTGGCCAATGTTGCGCTTCCGTGATTGATTTGAGGGTTATTTTTCCCTGTTAGATCCTTTGACTGGATGGTCATGCGCCCATAATTT